ACCTGAAGCAGTCCCTGTAAGATGTTTGATATCCCTCCCCATGCTGTTCTCTAGTTGTTAAATACTAACCTGAAGCGGTCCCTGTAAGATGTTTGATATCCCTCCCCATGCTGTTCTCTGTGTTAAATACTAACCTGAAGCAGTCCCTGTAAGATGTTTGATATCCCTCCCCATGCTGTTCTCTGTGTTAAATACTAACCTGAAGCGGTCCCTGTAAGATGTTTGATATCCCTCCCCATGCTGTTCTCTGTGTTAAATACTAACCTGAAGCAGTCCCTGTAAGATGTTTGATATCCCTCCCCATGCTGTTCTCTGTGTTAAATACTAACCTGAAGCAGTCCCTGTAAGATGTTTGATATCCCTCCCCATGCTGTTCTCTGTGTTAAATACTAACCTGAAGCAGTCCCTGTAAGATGTTTGATATCCCTCCCCATGCTGTTCTCTGTGTTAAATACTAACCTGAAGCAGTCCCTGTAAGATGTTTGATATCCCTCCCCATGCTGTTCTCTATGTGTTAAATACTAACCTGAAGCAGTCCCTGTAAGATGTTTGATATCCCTCCCCATGCTGTTCTCTGTGTTAAATACTAACCTGAAGCAGTCCCTGTAAGATGTTTGATATCCCTCCCCATGCTGTTCTCTGTGTTAAATACTAACCTGAAGCAGTCCCTGTAAGATGTTTGATATCCCTCCCCATGCTGTTCTCTGTGTTAAATACTAACCTGAAGCAGTCCCTGTAAGATGTTTGATATCCCTCCCCATGCTGTTCTCTAGTTGTTAAATACTAACCTGAAGCAGTCCCTGTAAGATGTTTGATATCCCTCCCCATGCTGTTCTCTATGTGTTAAATACTAACCTGAAGCAGTCCCTGTAAGATGTTTGATATCCCTCCCCATGCTGTTCTCTGTGTTAAATACTAACCTGAAGCAGTCCCTGTAAGATGTTTGATATCCCTCCCCATGCTGTTCTCTATGTGTTAAATACTAACCTGAAGCAGTCCCTGTAAGATGTTTGATATCCCTCCCCATGCTGTTCTCTATGTGTTAAATACTAACCTGAAGCAGTCCCTGTAAGATGTTTGATATCCCTCCCCATGCTGTTCTCTATGTGTTAAATACTAACCTGAAGCAGTCCCTGTAAGATGTTTGATATCCCTCCCCATGCTGTTCTCTATGTGTTAAATATGTGTTAAATACCTGAAGCAGTCCCTGTAAGATGTTTGATATCCCTCCCCATGCTGTTCTCTGTGTTAAATACTAACCTGAAGCAGTCCCTGTAAGATGTTTGATATCCCTCCCCATGCTGTTTTCTGTGTTAAATACTAACCTGAAGCAGTCCCTGAAGCAGTAAGATGTTTGATATCCCTCCCCATGCTGTTCTCTGTGTTAAATACTAACCTGAAGCAGTCCCTGTAAGATGTTTGATATCCCTCCCCATGCTGTTCTCTAGTTGTTAAATACTAACCTGAAGCAGTCCCTGTAAGATGTTTGATATCCCTCCCCATGCTGTTCTCTGTGTTAAATACTAACCTGAAGCAGTCCCTGTAAGATGTTTGATATCCCTCCCCATGCTGTTCTCTATGTGTTAAATACTAACCTGAAGCAGTCCCTGTAAGATGTTTGATATCCCTCCCCATGCTGTTCTCTGTGTTAAATACTAACCTGAAGCAGTCCCTGTAAGATGTTTGATATCCCTCCCCATGCTGTTCTCTATGTGTTAAATACTAACCTGAAGCAGTCCCTGTAAGATGTTTGATATCCCTCCCCATGCTGTTCTCTGTGTTAAATACTAACCTGAAGCAGTCCCTGTAAGATGTTTGATATCCCTCCCCATGCTGTTCTCTGTGTTAAATACTAACCTGAAGCAGTCCCTGTAAGATGTTTGATATCCCTCCCCATGCTGTTCTCTGTGTTAAATACTAACCTGAAGCAGTCCCTGTAAGATGTTTGATATCCCTCCCCATGCTGTTCTCTATGTGTTAAATACTAACCTGAAGCAGTCCCTGTAAGATGTTTGATATCCCTCCCCATGCTGTTCTCTATGTGTTAAATACTAACCTGAAGCAGTCCCTGTAAGATGTTTGATATCCCTCCCCATGCTGTTCTCTATGTGTTAAATACTAACCTGAAGCAGTCCCTGTAAGATGTTTGATATCCCTCCCCATGCTGTTCTCTATGTGTTAAATACTAACCTGAAGCAGTCCCTGTAAGATGTTTGATATCCCTCCCCATGCTGTTCTCTGTGTTAAATACTAACCTGAAGCAGTCCCTGTAAGATGTTTGATATCCCTCCCCATGCTGTTATCTATGTGTTAAATACTAACCTGAAGCAGTCCCTGTAAGATGTTTGATATCCCTCCCCATGCTGTTCTCTATGTGTTAAATACTAACCTGAAGCAGTCCCTGTAAGATGTTTGATATCCCTCCCCATGCTGTTCTCTGTGTTAAATACTAACCTGAAGCAGTCCCTGTAAGATGTTTGATATCCCTCCCCATGCTGTTCTCTATGTGTTAAATACTAACCTGAAGCAGTCCCTGTAAGATGTTTGATATCCCTCCCCATGCTGTTCTCTATGTGTTAAATACTAACCTGAAGCATGTCTGTGTTAAATACTAACCTGAAGCAGTCCCTGTAAGATGTTTGATATCCCTCCCCATGCTGTTCTCTATGTGTTAAATACTAACCTGAAGCAGTCCCTGTAAGATGTTTGATATCCCTCCCCATGCTGTTCTCTGTGTTAAATACTAACCTGAAGCAGTCCCTGTAAGATGTTTGATATCCCTCCCCATGCTGTTCTCTATGTGTGAAGCAGTTAAGATGTTTGATATCCCTCCCCATGCTGTTCTCTATGTGTTAAATACTAACCTGAAGCAGTCCCTGTAAGATGTTTGATATCCCTCCCCATGCTGTTCTCTGTGTTAAATACTAACCTGAAGCAGTCCCTGTAAGATGTTTGATATCCCTCCCCATGCTGTTCTCTGTGTTAAATACTAACCTGAAGCAGTCCCTGTAAGATGTTTGATATCCCTCCCCATGCTGTGTTAAATACTAACCTGAAGCAGTCCCTGTAAGATGTTTGATATCCCTCCCCATGCTGTTCTCTATGTGTTAAATACTAACCTGAAGCAGTCCCTGTAAGATGTTTGATATCCCTCCCCATGCTGTTCTCTATGTGTTAAATACTAACCTGAAGCAGTCCCTGTAAGATGTTTGATATCCCTCCCCATGCTGTTCTCTATGTGTTAAATACTAACCTGAAGCAGTCCCTGTAAGATGTTTGATATCCCTCCCCCTGCTGTTCTCTGTGTTAAATACTAACCTGAAGCAGTCCCTGTAAGATGTTTGATATCCCTCCCCATGCTGTTCTCTGTGTTAAATACTAACCTGAAGCAGTCCCTGTAAGATGTTTGATATCCCTCCCCATGCTGTTCTCTGTGTTAAATACTAACCTGAAGCAGTCCCTGTAAGATGTTTGATATCCCTCCCCATGCTGTTCTCTATGTGTTAAATACTAACCTGAAGCAGTCCCTGTAAGATGTTTGATATCCCTCCCCATGCTGTTCTCTATGTGTTAAATACTAACCTGAAGCAGTCCCTGTAAGATGTTTGTTATCCCTCCCCATGCTGTTCTCTATGTGTTAAATACTAACCTGAAGCAGTCCCTGTAAGATGTTTGATATCCCTCCCCATGCTGTTCTCTATGTGTTAAATACTAACCTGAAGCAGTCCCTGTAAGATGTTTGATATCCCTCCCCATGCTGTTCTCTATGTGTTAAATACTAACCTGAAGCAGTCCCTGTAAGATGTTTGATATCCCTCCCCATGCTGTTCTCTATGTGTTAAATACTAACCTGAAGCAGTCCCTGTAAGATGTTTGATATCCCTCCCCATGCTGTTCTCTATGTGTTAAATACTAACCTGAAGCAGTCCCTGTAAGATGTTTGATATCCCTCCCCATGCTGTTCTCTATGTGTTAAATACCAACCTGAAGCGGTCCCTGTAAGATGCTTGACGACCAGATGCACCACCTCGCCCTCTGTTCCTTGGTACTTTCTCTTCATAGTCATCCCCAGATATTACACCTAATTAAGAAAACAAAATTATGCAACCTGATGAATTCAACATATATCATAATTGAAAGAAAAGTTGATTCCACATTTTAAGGAATTCACGATAGCGTTACTTAACCTACTTTGATTCTTAGTAGAAATGAAGAAATTCCTACATCTGGCTAAAAATTTAGTGTAGAAAATACACAATCTATAAATAAAAAAAAAAAGTTTGTATGAAGAAATAATTGCTACATCAGAATCAGAAATTATTCTATAGTATATGTTATATCAGAACCTGCTGACTGTTTACAGGCAGTTTTTCCTACATCAGAAATCAATCTAATTAAACTTGTTAACATAATGACTTACTCCAACATCGATAGGTAACTGCCTACTTCATCCAAATACATATTCACTATAGTATTTTCTTTGATTAATGAATTTTAAGGTAAATCTATTTGTGTCCTAACTTAAAAATGTGGGTAAAATGACAATTCACTTTTGTTCAGTTTTACTGTTAGTATAGTAGTAAGATGCATCAGGCTTGCTTAGAGTATACATGTAAATCTGACACATAGATCTTCTACTACTGGTCAGTCCTGAAATGTATACCAGTCCTACAGAACATACTTTGAGGACAATTTACCTCTCTGGGGTTTTTTTCGAGGAGCAAGCTGTATGTTCACATCCACAACACGTGACTGTTTGACTTGAGCCTTGGTAAGCCCACGATAGTGTTCACTTGCTTTGTGTGCCTTAAGGTCTATTTCAGAACGAAAAGCGTGTGTAAATTGAGCATTCACACATTCTTCTTCTTGACACAAATAATGTTGATCCCTGAAGTGTCGTTTCAGGTCATCATAGTCACTGTAAGAAAAAAACAAATGTCAATTCAGAACTGGTTTTCAATCTTCTCCACAAGTGTATGAAGCAGCTTTTTTTATTCTGCCTCTAAGTTCCAAGCTTGTTGGCAGTTTCCTTTTTTCATCAACAATTTACCCATGTATCAAAAGCTTTCCCATAAACCAGTTTTTAAGATAATCACAAGTGGCACTAGCAATGTACATGCATAATACCATGCATATCCTGTCAGCAAGCTTTGGTCAGCAGAGCCTTTTTCTCTCGCATATTTATGGTATTTCTTACATCAAAATAGTTAAAATCTACACTTATTGTAAAAAGCTGCCCAAGGAGTGAAGATTGATCAACTCCTGCAATGAAGGGTGAAATACTAATGATAAGAACATGTCAGTTGGTCCATGTGTAAAAATTTCAGTTGTAAGCATTGGAAGACATATGTCACATGTGTCAACATTTAGCCCTTTGTTTTGTTGAGAATGAGTCGTGAATAGTAAATTATATATAACCAGAAGGTTTCTGAAACATAGCAACTGCTTATAAAATATGACTGACATCGTAATTGTAACTCCCAGTAAATCGTACCTGTAATAATCATTACAACCATCTTTTTCACAAAAATGGCAGTAGTAGTGATCCTTCCTTAAGTGGCGATACAGCTCATCATTATCCATATAGCGTTCATCACAGAAGTGACACAATGGGTGACCCTTGTAGGATGTATCATCCTTGTCTCCAACACGACGATGGGTAGCAAGGTTCTGACGGCTATAGAACTTTCTCTCAAATGTGAAAATCTAAAAATTTAAAGAGGTTGTGATGTTTTAAAATTAGAAACTGATCCAATAACAAATCAGCAAAAGACAGAAAATAAAGAAATTACCTTCCAATATTGATATAAATAACTTAAAATGGATGGATCAAGCACTGACTTTATACAGTCGCAATCAAAATTATATGTTTAAACCCAGAGAATACCATCAATGTAGTTGTCAGGATACCTAATACACCATGGATGATAAATCAGAAATAACTTTTAATCAACACAACCTGTACATACTGGCTAAAACATCACCAAGAGTTCGTAGAAAAACACTATATACAGGCTAGACTAAATCACTGAGGGCGTCTTTAATTAACAGATCTAGTATTAACTAAATGAATTATAAGAGGAGTGTACCTTTAAATGATCAATGCAGAGATCACAGTAGAAGAGTGTGTGCTCTTTCCTCATGTGGGTCTGAAGTTCCCTAAATAATCTGAAGGTTTGTTTACATTTTGGGCAACTATGTTCTAACAATTTATCCACTTTTTTCTTAATGGAATCATCTTCAAAGAAAATTTTCAGCTTCCTGTTTGGAATGTAACCACGGCGAGGTATATCCGACTCCTTTACCAATTTATGAACCATATAAACCTGAAACATAAAGAAAACATATTTCTACAAAATAATTATCAACTAAAATTAATTAGACACATCAATTATCAAATAGACATCAATTTGTAATGTGCTTCTGACATTACTCCACTTGTAACAGACATTGACAGGCCTATCAATTCACGATCACCTGTTCAGCAGCAATGTCAAGTTATTCTAAAGATGTTAGTAGTACAAGTAAAACAGAATATATCAACTTATTTAAGTACATAACAAATTTTGTAAGTTAATACATCTTGCGACCAAACCAATCCACTTGAACATTCTAGCATGATTGAACAATTTTAACAAGTACACAATTTGATTTATAATGAAAAAGAATTGAAGAAATTTTGACAAATCTAAGAACTGAATATTACCAGTTAATGTTATGATTTTTTTTTTAAAAGTTCACTGTATCAAAGGTTCTACATTTATATTATAAATACTTTCAATTGGTAAAACAATGTCTATTGATAAATCTGGTTGACTGTCAGTCTCTTACAAGAGTTGACATTCACTGTATTAGGTTCATACCTATTTTTTCAAAACTTATTTGCGACAAAGGGCTCACATTCTTATATATTGATTTACTGAACCTCTTGTACATCAAATTCAAATGCATTAATGGAAAACCAATTTTGGTAAGATTACCTTCATCTAGTTTTGTACTTGCACTTTCAGCGAGCAACATATATAGTGTAACAAATAATCAACTCAAAAAATGTCGAAAATAATCTTTTTTAACATTTCCACGAAATGATCAGATATTGTTGCATGTTGCAACATGCACTTGTGTTTTGTGCAAAAGGTGGACAATCTGAGGTACATAAATAGGGTTAGTGTGATAGTATCAGCCTTGATACAGCACTCGGATTATAAGGTAATACCCATTTCAGATGATAAATCAATATCAAAGTCCTCTTATATATTTACTTCCATATTTTTCATTTGATTGTTAGAAAATGGGCACCCTGCTTGAGCAAACAAAAGCAATGAGTTAAATATAAATATGGAATGTACAAATTATGTTTTCAGAAAGACCATTCAACCATTGCTGCATACAAAGTTCATGCTACTGAAATTTCTCAGAATCTCTAACTGTTCTATACACCTTCTATAAATGAAAGTGAAAGTACATGTAGAGTCACCAATTCACCATATTTCACCATGATCATGTAAACCGGGCATTGATCAAATTGTGGGAAAATGCTACAATCACCTAATATTTCTTTACCTTCACTTATTAATTCAAAACTTTCCATTCCAGTTCAGGATCTAACATATTCAACTAATGTTCAAAATTAAACATAACATCTTTTAAATTCAGATAAACAACTACTAAGTAGAAATTATTACAACGCCTTTTTACCAAGTTCATCTTGATTATGAAGGCCATAACCAGATAGTATTTGACAAAAGGTTGGAAGCACTGACATGTAAGTTATCATTTGCCCTCAAATGTTACTACATTGTTACTAACTTTCAAACATCGTGTACAAAATTACCTAGCTAGGAATAGTTTTGCTTTATTAGCTAAGATACCAGGAAGAGGCAAATGAACACAACTTCAAGTCAGCATACCTGATTAAGATCGGTTCTACATATAGGACAGTATAACTGTTCACATAACGCCCTCATCCTCAGGGCACATCGGTAACAAACTGGGTGATCACAACTTCCGATCGCGTATATTTCTACTGCCTCGTGGCAGACTGGGCAGGATTCAGTGGCACTCTCCCTCCTCTGACGTTTCTCCATATTGCTTCTTCTTTGACTAACCAACAAAACGAAAGTTGTGTACTGACGCAATGATCTTAGTAAGGGAAGGCCGAATGCGGTATATATAACCGTTTTGTAATCTTAATATAGATTCTCATGGCTACTCTTTCCGCCGGGTTGTGCAATGTTTGTGATAAACGTCATCAAAATATGGGATGATTGTGTGGCGAAAATAAAAATTGCAGGCAATCAAAAAAAGAGATCAAAACATGTATTTATTTTTGTTTATGAATTGTTGTTAGATGTAAATAATGGAAATGACATATTTGATTATATCTTAGTAAAAAATAATAATTATAAACTCGTGACGTCATTTCCTCGTGATCATGATAATTTTTCCAAGATGTCCGGGACGGAAGGTGGTGCTTTCGGTGCTGGGAAAGCAGGAACCCCATTTGACCTTTTAACGTTCATTAAAAAACCACAAGTGATATTGCGAATAGCAAGCACGGTATGTTGATATTTTTCCTTCGTTATCATGGTGAAAGATATACAAAGTTCTGATTTGTTTACAATAAAAATATACCGATTTGAAAGTAACATGTAACAGCAAGAATTTGTTTTACAATGTTCATGTGCAGTAGGTTACGCTTAGTTACTTACTGGTACTATTCCCAGGAATAATACAGATCAACGCACATATTTACTCTAAGCGGACGAATAAAAATTTTTAATACATATATTAAGTCGCGGTATATTTATGTACAAATCCCTCACTCATTCACAGATGTCAATATCGTGCATAATCAAGGTTACAAACCCGATTTTCCTAAGGAAAATAATTATTCTACGCAAGAAAATTCTGTATAACTTAGGATACAATCAGTTGTTTATTTCTGGTGCAGGATTATTTAAAGTCCTTCATTCGCGACTCCGACCACACACTATATCATAAGCTGTGACATGGTCGTTTATAATGTCCCTCATGTAGCTTTTAGGGTCATCAGATAAATATTAACTTCAACTCATGTGCCAGCATTTTCAATTAATAAGCCATATGATAACATTAAAAGCTAGATCATAGTTTCAAACTATAGCTAACTATTGATTAGTTGAACTGGTCATTTGGTCCAGGTAGTATCAATACACATTCTTTCACCATGGATTATATTGACCACTATTTGCCATACGTATTCCTTTCTTGAAAATTCAAGTTTCCATCCAGTCATATTTCAGTGTCGATACCGTCATCATATAATCATATGTTATATTTTAGAATTTATTAAAAAGTTTCATTCCTCCAGCTCCTACCCCACTCCAGTCAGTTTCATTCCTCCAGCCCCACCCCACTCCAGTCAGTTTCATTCCTCCAGCCCCACCCCACTCCAATCAGTTTCATTCCTCCAGCCCCACCCCACTCCAATCAGTTTCATACCTCCAGCCCCACCCCACTCCAATCAGTTTCATACCTCAAGTCCCCATCCCACTCCAATCAGTTTCATACCTCAAGTCCCCATCCCACTCCAATCAGTTTCATTCCTCCAGCCCCCATCCCACTCCAATCAGTGTCATTCCTCCAGCCCCACCCCACTCCAGTCAGTTTCATTCCTCCAGCCCCACCCCACTCCAATCAGTTTCATTCCTCCAGCCCCACCCCACTCCAATCAGTTTCATACCTCCAGCCCCACCCCACTCCAATCAGTTTCATACCTCAAGTCCCCATCCCACTCCAATCAGTTTCATTCCTCCAGCCCCCATCCCACTCCAATCAGTGTCATTCCTCCAGCCCCCATCCCACTCCAATCAGTTTCATTCCTCCAGCCCCCACCCCACTCCAATCGGTTTCATTCCTCCAGCCCCCCCACCCCACTCCAATCAGTTTCATTCCTCCAGCCTCTAGCCCCCACCCCCACTCCAAATAGTTTCATACCTCCAGTCCCACCCACTCCAATCAGTTTCATTCCTCCAGCCCCACCCCACTCCAATCAGTTTCATACCTCCAGCCCCACCCCACTCCAATCAGTTTCATTCCTCCAGCCCCACCCCACTCCAGTCAGTTTCATTCCTCCAGCCCCACCCCACTCCAATCAGTTTCATTCCTCCAGCCCCACCCCACTCCAATCAGTTTCATACCTCAAGCCCCACCCCACTCCAATCAGTTTCATACCTCAAGTCCCCATCCCACTCCAATCAGTTTCATTCCTCCAGCCCCCATCCCACTCCAATCAGTGTCATTCCTCCAGCCCCCATCCCACTCCAATCAGTTTCATTCCTCCAGCCCCCACCCCACTCCAATCGGTTTCATTCCTCCAGCCCCCCCACCCCACTCCAATCAGTTTCATTCCTCCAGCCTCTAGCCCCCACCCCCACTCCAAATAGTTTCATACCTCCAGTCCCACCCACTCCAATCAGTTTCATTCCTCCAGCCCCACCCCACTCCAATCAGTTTCATACCTCCAGCCCCACCCACTCCAATCAGTTTCATACCTCCAGCCCCACCCACTCCAATCAGTTTCATTCTTCCAGCCCCCATCCCACTCCAATCAGTTTCATTCCTCCAGCCCCACCCCACTCCAATCAGTTTCATTCCTCCAGCCCCCATCCCACTCCAATCAGTTTCATACCTCCAGCCCCATCCCACTCCAATCAGTTTCAGTCCTCCAGCCCCCACCCCACTCCAATCAGTTTCATACCTCCAGCCCCCACCCCACTCCAATCAGTTTCATACCTCCAGCCCCCATCCCACTCCAATCAGTTTCATACCTCCAGCCCCACCCGACTCCAATCAGTTTCATTCCTCCAGCCCCACCCCACTCCAATCAGTTTCATACCTCCAGTCCAACCCTACTCCAATCAGTTTCAGTCCTCCAGCTCCCATCCCACTCCAATCAGTTTCATACCTCCAGCCCCACCCGACTCCAATCAGTTTCAGTCCTCCAGCCCCCACCCCACTCTAATCAGTTTCATTCCTCCAGTCCCCATCCCACTCCAATCAGTTTCATACCTCCAGCCCCACCCACTCCAATCAGTTTCAGTCCTCCAGCCCCCATCCCACTCCAATCAGTTTCATTCCTCCAGCCCCACCCCACTCCAATCAGTTTCATTCCTCCAGTCCAACCCCACTCCAATCAGTTTCATTCCTCCAGCCCCCATCCCACTCCAATCAGTTTCATTCCTCCAGCCCCACCCACTCCAATCAGTTTCAGTCCTACAGCCCCCACCCGACTCCAATCAGTTTCATTCCTCCAACCCCCATCCCACTACAATTAGTTTAATTCCTTACTTCCCCAACACTCGTTTTTTTGGTTTATGTAAAATTTGATTTAAAAATTGCAATAGTACAAAGGAAAGTATGTTTAACAGATTCTTTTCTTCAAATTTCTATAGTAAAATTCAAGTTTTTATGTAGATAAGGAGGGTTTGTAGAGTATATATCAGTATACTCTAAGATCATGATAAGAAAGCTAGACCATTCAGTCATTTTGTTAATTTGTGAATTCATCTTAATAAAAATCCGAAACCAAGTTATGGCAAATTTACACTTAAGTTTCTGCAAGTATGAGGTCCATGTACTCTAGTCATAATTATGTAATTTATACTAATCTAATCAGTTTTGGATTATTATTACTTTGTATATATCTTGGGAATAATCATCAACAGTAAAAGTTTAGTTGGTTAGTGAAACACGAGGATGCATTACGTAAACAACATTATTCTCATATCACCAACTCTGAACAATAGATGGCCCTAGCTAGATCCAGGAAAGTCTGGTATATTTATAGATGGCTAATGCCAAAATCCAAGTCTAAAGAGATATGCTTTTATATTTTATATCATGGAACTTAACCATGGCTAACAGTATATGTTAATGTCATGCTTTATGTTTGAACTGTAGAAGTTAAATGAATGTACACTTGAAATTTCACACACTTACGTATTGCGTTATGTTACAGGTATGGGCTATGGTTGTGTTTGGGTGTATCTCGGCAGAAGGCTGGTATGACGGTCATTGTCAGATGCGAGATGACGCCAATGCCTGTAACTATGGTGTAGGAATTGGAGTTTTAGCATTCCTAATTTGTATTGGATTTCTTGTGGTGGATGCCCTGTTTGAAAACATCAGCAGTGTGCAATACAGAAAATATGTGGTTATAGCTGATATGTGTGTATCAGGTATGTACAGCTGTAGTTTTAATTCATATTGAAAATTTATATGGTGCATGGTTATTTTATTTTAATCGTCTCATTATATAATAACTGCTGATTTTTATTCCCATGCCATTATGTTTGGTGGGTAGTAATCCATATTTACTCTATTGTAACATAACATCCAGTTTTACACTACTAACATACTTGTCAGATAAAACTTCAAACTTAGGGTATGGATTGTTCACCTTGGTGAGACAGAGAGTTGTGTATATCAAAAGTTGGTTACTCAGACCTGGATTGTGACCTTTGACCTACATTGAAGAAAAATTTTGTCCAGACTTGATCTCTTACACTATGAGTCATAGGAACATAATACTTAGGGTATGAGTTAACCTTGATGAGACATTTACCGTTTGATGGCCTTAATGACCTTTTATGTGTTGACAGGCCGTTAAGAATGTAATAATGATAATAATAATTGATGAGACAATGTGATGTTTCAAAAGTAAGTACCCAGGGTCACCCTGACCTTCATTTTAACGTTTGACCTACATCTAAGAAAAAGTATGCTTGGTGTATAATCTTACATTCGGTGAGGGACTGTAACTCACAGAATGATCTTCTAGTAAATGTAAATATCCAGACCCTCTTTTAAGGTCAAAGGTTACACATGACAACTTTTTTATAATTAAGCTTCTGCAACTTCATCAAATACTGATACTTTTTAAGGGTAGAGTCAAAATGAAAAAAAACGTATGGAGATATTGAGGGGTATATATAAAAGGATATGAATTTAAAATTGATACATTTTGTGTATGTATGCATCATCTTTCTTCATGTTACAGTGGTATTGCTTTCTACATGCGGTGTATTCTTCTTTCATTTTGTTTGATAATGCATCCAAATGAAGAAACAGCGTGAATGATAAAAACATTTAATAGTATTAACTAACAACACATGATGTGTTTTCAAAATACACCATACTGATATGGCAAAATCCTGAATATCTTCCAAAATCTCTTAAAAGAATACCAAGATGGTTTATTTTACTTGTACAGGTTCTTTCTATATTAATTTACAGCAAACATTTGAATATCTGTATAATGCTATTCTTTTAAACAGGAATCGTCAGGAGTATGTAAAGTAAAATGATATGAGAAGTTAGAATTCAAGCTAGTTTTGTCCATTATTTAAAAGATAACGCATCTGTTAACTCCCTGTATCTGGGACACTGATTTGTTTTAATTGTGTAAAAAATGTTGCCTGTCACTATAACTCTGACCTGTTATATCAAAGTTATCATGATATAAATGATGCTGATAAGATACCAGTAATTACAGTAGGAAAAACGTGTGTACAGCACAAGTCAGGTGATGCTTTGATACTGCATAATGTGTGTGTGTGTGTGTGTGATTTTTTTAGCTACAGGCCTAGTATTGATTGCCATCTTGCAGCTTATAAAAGCTTATGTTATCAGTGTGTCTTGTGAGAGCTAGCAACCTCATCAGTACACTGTTAGGTTGTCTCACACAATTCATATATTATAGTAAAGTACTGTTGTGAACTGACTTTTTGTATCTGTGTGTGTGTGTTCCTGTTAAACCTATAATTATCATCTCTTCACCAAACCTAGCAATTAATTCTTCAAAACCAACCTTTTCTCTGAAACCCAATTATTCCTTGGAGTAGATAATTAATCAGTACATCCTACCTTCCTTCTGTAAACACTACACCATGACTTTACCATGGAACCAAACCTCAAAAAATGTCATATGCAAATCACCTGAATCAATTTACACAAGTGACTTACATATATTGTAGTTCAAAGTTGATAAAATCTTGACCTGAACATTAAGTTATTGTTGTAATTTGTTTTGGAATCAGAAATTTTGTACAACTATAACTGGAAATTGTAACTTTCTAGATCTAGCAATCACCCATGTCTGGTAGTTTACTTGCCAACATCTACACATATAGTGATGTTCAATAACAGGAAAGTTTCATGCTAGGTTAAAAAGCCAACCCCTTGACCTTGTGTCTGTTGTAATGTGTTGGCCATCATGGCTTGTTACTTTAATATATGTGGTTTTGTACATGTAGGCCATGAATAACATTGTATGATCATAGTACTGTATTATTTATGTGTATATCTACCCCAGTATGGTAGACCATGATCTATATCATTACTGCTCTCAATAGTGTAACATTATAATTATTATGTGTATATCTACCCCAGCATGGTAGACCATGATCTATATCATTACTGGGCCAGTTCTCAATAGTGTAACATTATAATTATTTATGTGTATATCTACCCCAGCATGGTAGACCATGATCTATATCATTACTGCTCTCAATAGTGTAACATTATAATTATTATGTGTATATCTACCCCAGCATGGTAGACCATGATCTATATCATTACTGGGCCAGTTCTCAATAGTGTAACATTATAATTATTATGTGTATATCTACCCCAGCATGGTAGACCATGATCTATATCATTACTGCTCTCAATAGTGTAACATAATTATTATGTGTATATCTACCCCAGCATGGTAGACCATGATCTATATCATTACTGGGCCAGTTCTCAATAGTGTAACATTATAATTATTATGTGTATATCTACCCCAGCATGGTAGACCATGATCTATATCATTACTGGGTTTGTCCTCAATAATGTAACATTATAATTCTCCTGATTCGGTGATATTTTCTCATTCTATTACATATACACATATGTGTTATAGACCATCATCTTTACCCCAGTTTACTCTCATCATTTCCTGATACATTATAGCATTGTGGACATTCCTGTGGTTTGTTGGCTTCTGCTACTTGACGGATGCATGGAATCATTCTCCTGACAACAGCGTCTATCGTGCCCCTCACGGTCATGGCCGCGATCATGTACAAGCAGCCATAGCTTTTTCCTTCTTCTCCATTATATCCTGGGTAAGTATTGTGTGAGTTACGTTGTGATTGTAGGGGTAAGGTTATGGCTGTCTCTTTGTTAATCTTTGATATGGAGTTTGACTGGAGTTAATCAAAGTGACCTCTGTGTGTGTTTTCAGGGAGGCCTCACCTTCTTTGCTGTGAGGCGCTATCGGGAAGGCTCGCAGGAAACGTTCACTCAAGGATATGAAACGGAACAAAATGCATCTTCTCCGTATTCTTCATTCCCTGGCAGTGATACTGGAGACCCATATCAGCAGCCCCCATTCAGTGGTCAGAAGGAGGCTCCCGACTTCCAGCCACCAACCTACTAGGGAAGAGCATATGAATTGCCCCTTTTCAGTTGTGGGGGAACAAGAATCAAAAGGAGGATCCACCAGTGTTACCATGGTCACTGTTAGAGAGTTGTATTAGGCTGTTGTCAAGTGTAGGATGAGGTTTGGATATGTATATGTAGCTGAGATATCAGATCATGGTATGTCTGGGTCACTTGAAGGTCATTTTGGCTTTATCAACTACAAACTCATTTATAAATATTCAATGCCTATATATTTACTGTTGAATAAGTATTAAAGAATTAGATTCAGTTTTGGGTGGTTAAAATTTGAAATATGAAGCTGGTGTGATATGTCACTGCTACTGACTGTTAAGGGCGTTGAAGAAAAATTAAGGAAACAATGCTTTCTGGAGTCCTGATAGATGGCTGAATTTTAGTAAGTCTAGGTACTTAATGGAACTAAGGAACTAGACTGTTGGAAGCCTGTTAATGTTCTTTTTTAGCAGTCTTTCAGATGCTGATGGGGTCTGATTAAAGGAAGATTACTAAATATATTTTGGCTAGCAAGTAACTGAAGGAGGTGAGGTGTGTGATTATTGAAGGAATTGGTATGTAAAATTCTTTAAAAAGGATTGACATGGTTTGACAGCTGTTTGAGTTGGCCTCAGTGTGTTCAGCACCAGGAATAACCGATCTCACTGATGATAGATTTTCCTTGATGGGAAAAAGGCACAAAGATATGTAGGAAATCCATATATTGTACTAGTATCATCTTTGATTCTCTTCTGTGTTGTGATTAGCTAAGACTTGTCAATACTATATATTCATCAATTTGATAGATCTCTGGAGTTTGTAGCTTTACTTAAAATGAAGTTTCTATGCTATTGTATCAGGTGAAACATGTCACATGTTTAATATTCCTTAAAATCAGAGAGGATTTATCCAGTGGAAGTATTTAACCTTATAAATTGTTGTTTAAGCTGAGAAGACATTGGTCTGATTACTGTTATATAGTCAGATTATTACTAGAGCAAATGTTATACCCACCTGTAGATATAGGCATATTCACCATGCTTAAAAGATATGTTGGTTATATTGTAAGTCAAGTATTGAGCTAGCTTCAGTGACAGGACTGGCCTTTGAGAGCTAGCCTTGGTGAAAGGACTGGTCTCTGAGAGCTAGCCTGGTGACAGGACTAACCTCTGAGAGCTAGTCTTGGTGACAGGACTAACCTCGGAGAGCTAGCCTTGGTGACAAGACTGACCTCTGAGGGCTAGCCTTAGTGACAGGACTGACCTCTGAGAGCCAGTCTCAGTGATGGGACTGACCTCTGAGAGCTAGCCTTGGTGACAGGACTGACCTCTAAGGGCTAGCCTTGGTGACAGGACTAACCTTGGAGAGCCAGCCTCAGTGATGGGACTGACATCTGCGGGCTAGTTTTAGTGATAGGACTGACCTCTGAGAGCTAGCCTTGGCGACAGGACTGGCCTTTGAGTGCTAGCCTTGGTGACAGTATTGGCCTTTGAGAGCTAGCCTTGGTGACAGGAATGGTCTCTGAGAGCTGGCCTTGATGACAGGACTAACCTCTGAGAGCCAGCCTCAGTGATGGGACTGACCTCTGAGAGTTAGCCTTGGTGACAGGACTGACCTCTAAGGGCTAGCCTTGGTGACAGGACTAACCTCGGAGAGCCAGCCTCAGTGATGGGACTGACATCTGCGGGCTAGTTTTAGTGATAGGACTGACCTCTGAGAGCTAGCCTTGGCGACAGGACTGGCCTTTGAGTGCTAGCCTTGGTGACAGGAATGGTCTCTGAGAGCTGGCCTTGATGACAGGACTAACCTCTGAGAGCCAGCCTCAGTGATGGGACTGACCTCTTAGGGCTAGCCTTGGTGACAGGACTGGTCTCTGAGAGCCAGTCTCAGTGACAGGACTGACCTCTGGGAGCTAGCCTCAGGGACATGACTGACCTCTGAGGGCTAGCCTTGGTGACAGGACTAACCTCGGGGAGCCAGCCTCAGTGATGGAACTGACCTCGGAGATTCAGCCTCAGTGATGGGACTGACCTCTGAGGGCTGCTAGCCTTGGTGACAGGACTGGTCTCTGAGAGCTAGCCTTGGTGACAGAACTGACCTCTGAGAACCAGCCTCAGTGATGGGACTGACCTCTGAGAGTTAAGTCCAGTGATGGCACAGACCTCTAAATGCTCATCACTTCAGTAATCGATGATGGGACTAACCTGTAGCTAGTGCTAGCTTCAGTGATGGGACGGACCTCAAAGAGCTTTTGTTAGTGATATGACTTGCCTCAAACATCTAGCCTCAGTGTCTGAGAGATGTGACTTACCTCTAAGAGCTATTCTCAATGATGTGATTTGCCTCCAAGTGTTAGTGATGGAAATGACCTCCTTAATTCCAATTTTAATGAGGGCTGTAGAATGTGTGTGTATGTACCGGTAAAGCATTTCAAACCACCACCTTGTTCCCAGAAACACACGGTGAGGCTAGCTTGTTGATTGGTAGGACTGTACCAGTTTTTATTGTTTTTCATGTGATATTCCTTTTTTTTCCGCAATTTATTTTATTTGACAGTGAATCATTCCATTTCTTCAATGTATTTAATTTGTGCTATGTAAATATAAAGATATTCCTAATTGGGTGAGTGTAAGGGTATGGCGTTGCTGTCTTCTGTAGATTAGAATGCTATCAGTTTGATTTCTTTTATAGTATTTTAATGTTAAACTGTTATATACATATATTTACATTTTATATCATAATTTATGTCCATATTTCAAAGTAGATTTTTCATTTTGTTAAGTTTGTGTAAAAACATATTTCTGTCAAAGAGTTGTCTATTGTCTGCTCATAATATTTAATACTCTGAAATAGCCACACTAATTGGTATACAAGACATTAACATTCTGGTTTGTATGGGTCTTACCTTCACTGTTTGACTTTGATATTTAGAAATCATATCTATTGTATCCTAGTTTGTGTGTAGAACAGATAATACTTTCATTAATGACTCTGTGAATTCTGTAAGAATTTCCAGTTCTGCTTTTTTGCAGTTTTACTTATGTTACACCTTCTTTCTGTACTGATCATTCTGTACTTGACCAATGTCACTTGTTTTGAGGTTGTTGTGTTGACATTGAAGTCTGGTTCACTTACAGATTTAGCTGTTGATCAGCATCGCCCGGTCTTGGTGTTAGTGTGCTTATTCCATAATCAGTCAGTAACATCAGTGTTACTGTCTGTGTACTTATAACCATGTATGAGTGTTGGATGATGTGTGTTAGACTTGTGCCACTATGCTGTCCCATAAGCCAAAGTGTTTTTTTGTGATCACTGATGGAAGTGCTGCTTTTATTCATTGATTTGTAGACGTATTATATAAATTGGACTTAATATGATATTGTTAATGAAACTTCTTCAAAAATACTTGGAGCAGAATACAATTTCAGACATACATTATAAAGGCTGAGATATTTGTCTCACTAAAATCTGTTAAAATCTATGTTCAGGGTCTGACTGTTAAGAACATAAGACATGGTCCTTAAATATGAAATCCAGAATATGTTATATATGATTATACTGGAAGAAATTGACACCTTGAAATCCATACTACATTGTATATGAAAAAAAACAACTGTTCCTTCAAAAAGAAAATCTTGAGGACAAAGTTTTACTGAAAAATCATTAACAGCACTTTTTTTTAGAAGTTACTGTCATTTTCATTAAGGTTAACTTTGCAATTACCTGTGGGAATTTGGTGACATACATTGTTTACATATAGCATGTATTTAATATATGTTGAATTATTGTTGACTTTTGTCATTTGATTGCTTATTGCTTTTTCACAATATATCTATAACATATCTTTTCAGTATTTTTTATCCGAAAAAAGATTTGTAATGATAAAGCAAAGAAGAAGTTTTTATTATGCTGTGCAGTGCAATATTACATTGGTAATTATAAAGGGCTAACCAGCAGTGGATCTTTAAGCTCTGTTCCTCTTGTCAGATTATCTCCCTTCATGGCTTATCTCTTTCTCTCAGATTTGTTCTAAAAAAAACTGCTTATTTGTTGGTTTCTAAATTTCATTTTTACATTGGAAATTGGAAACTCAGATTTTGTGGTAAAACACAAGACAGTCAATTAACCACTTTTTTGACAAATGAGTAAGGAGAAGTTTTGATGAGGACTGGAATATTGATAAACAGTATATAGTTACAATAATCAAAAGCATTGGGGAAAAAACATTTCAGTTAATATATCAACAGAATTTCTTGGAAAAGGAAAGAAAATGTAACTATTGAAACATGTTTTTGGCATGGTATGGATTTTTAAAATGTACACCAAAATAGATTTTAGTAAACCATATAATTGTTGTTTTATGAAGAAATGTTACGGAAATTATCAGTTGTGAATCTTACCAAAGTTTTCCTACATACTGTAGTGATCACAAGAATGGATATGCCAAAAGGTTATTGATGTAGATGTCTTATTTGATAGATTAAGAATTAAGGTATATAATTGTTTGATAAGGCAAAACTAGGGATATGCATGTAAAATCATTGTAATTCTTGTTTCATGATATTTGTGTCTAAGATGTAAAAGTTCCACTGAATTCATTACAACATTGCTTCCATATTTCAGTGTTCTGTAGGTAAGAAAGATCATCACTTTGTCTATGTAATGCTGAATCAGCACCCGTTCAGGTTAAAGTTTTCTGATTCTTAAACATAATGTTACAGATAATGTTTTGAAGTAAGGCCAATAAAACAAAACAGTCTGAAAATTAACTTTGTGTAAAATTTTCATATCATATATCATAAACTTGGATTATAAATGCAATTGACCATGTGACTATTTGCAATTCAGTCTATTGTGTATGTTACACACCAGCTTACTTGTAATACAAATTGTATATCTGCACATTTACTTCTAATACAAGTTATGTATATAATGAAATGACTTACGATACAAGCTTTTACTAAGTTATTGTTGTCTTGTGTTACAGCAGGTCTATATATTCCATGCTTACTTGAATTAGGAGTTGTATGTATGATATGTTTACTTGTATTACAAGTTTTATGTGTCTACTTGTATAACAATTTGTGTGTATGTTTACTGTCTTACAAGTAGTTCACTCCTAGTATGTGTCACTAGTTGTTAACACTATGCACAGAGAATCCTATAACTGTTGTTCTTCATTACCAGCTATTATCATATCTTTGTAATTAATCCTTGTCTGTTATACCAGTCACAAACATTTAAATACATACATTTTCTGCTTGTATTAGGTGTGTTTACAACACACTACACACCTTGTCAGCTGTAACCACACACCTTGTCAGTTATAACTGCACACCTTGTCAGTTACAACTACAGAGTTTTTCAGTTATAACAAAACACCTTGCCAGTAATAACTGCACACCTTGTCAGTTATAATTACACACCTTGTCAGTTATAACTATAACTGCACACCTTGTCAGTTATAACCACACACCTTGTCAGTTATAACTATGACTGTACATCTTGTCAGTTATAACCGCATACCTTGTCAGTTATAACTACAGAGTTTGTCAGTTATAACCGCACACCTTGTCCGTTATAACTACACACCTTGTCAGTGATAACTACACACCTTGTCAGTTATAACCACACACCTTGTCAGTTATAACCACACACCTTGTCAGGTATAACTACACATAATGTCTGTTATTAAATCTTTGTGACTCTGTGTGTTATATTGTTAACTAGAAACACTAAGTGTTATATCCGGCTGGTATAGATGTGTAATTAGAAGGATTGTCTTACTACAAGCTGGAACATTATCTGTTAGTTTCAACAACTGTGTATGTCTGTTCTAGTGTAGGTATAAATACGATCTGTTGTTTGTACAGCATAATGGTTCTTGTCAACATGTCTTGACATGTATGGTTGAATAAAAGATTTTCAAATGAATAAGATTATCGTTCATGTTATAAATATTGGGCAACTTAAGTAGCTGTGGATGCTGATTGGTACGCCTACCTTACATATAAACTCCGACCTTGGGAATTCCTGGTCTCTTCCCGTATGACCTCCTGCTAGGACACATATACTGTACAGGAAATATATACCATATTTCTCCAAAGCTGGTACAAAAGACACGAGTGAATAACACCTTTATATACACATTTAGAGTAAGATACAGCTGAGCCAAACAAGGAATGAAACTGCATCATACAGCTGTCCTATCATCCGCCATTAATACAGGGCTGATTGATAAGTTACGATCCTCATATCTGAGGGACATATTGCATTACGCATTATTTTTCAACATAATTCCCTTCACTATCTATACACTCTTACCATTGATGTTGTAGGGTCTCAATGCCACTTTAAAGAAGTCCTTTTCTTGACCGTTCACAAAGTCCTCCGCTGCATGTACAGTGTATGACGTCATCTGACCGAAAATGGGTACCGCAAATGACCTTTTTCAATTTCGGAAATAGATGAAAGTCTGAAGGAGCGAGTTGATATTCTGATGGTAGATTATCTGCAAAAGGGACAAACAATCCATGGCACATATTAGGCATCACTTCTAGGCAGTTAGGAGAAAATATTAAATATTATAAAATGAGTAAATGTGTGTTGTTCCAAAAGAACGCCCCTATGTTATGTCCACAGAAAACGCGTGGGTATGCATATTGATATATACTAAACAAAAAAAGAAAGGTAACACTACTTTATTCTGTGATTAGTTAATAAACCCCTTCATAAATCTTTACAAATCATGTACGAATAAAGTAATTGATCAATTCTGATAAAACTGCAGTCATGGTTCATTATAAAACTTTGCGTTCAGTTGATTTTATTCGACCGTAAAGGACGTTGGGGTCAATTTCAAAGGTAACACCATTAGAAACGGGTATGGCCACCGTTTGCGAAGTAAACAGCATTGCAGCGTCGTCGCATGGAACTCGTAAACCGGCGGATAATTCGAAGAGAGATGTTGTTCCATTCAGCGATCAGGGCTTGGGCCAGCTCCTGCAAGTTTGACGGCTGATTTTGACGTTCTCTCACGCGTCGCCCAAGAACGTCCCAGACATGCTCAATTGGTGACAAATCAGGTGATTTAGATGGCCAATCTAACACCTGTACGTTATTCTGCTACAAGAAAGTTCTGCTGACGCGACTGGTGTGCGCTGGTGCGTTATCCTGTTGAAAAATGGCGCCACGCCATGGCGTCTTAAGAATGGCAGAACCACTGGTCTTAGAATTTCGTCCCGATATCGAATGCCGGTTAAATTGCCATTTAACACAACAAGCCTGGTACGAGTCCCCCACAAATACCACCCCAAACCATTACACTTCCGCCGCCAAAGCGGTCCCGTTCTGCGTCGCCTCCACACTCTGCGCCTTCCGTCACCGTGTTGCAGACAAAACCTGGACTCATCTGAAAACAGAACATTGTTCCATTGCCGTAAGGCCCAACGACGGTGAACACAGGTCCAGTTACGCCGATTATTACGGTGACGTCGCAACAAATTGGGTCCAGTGTAGGGACGCCGCGCTTTCAATTGGTAGGCCCTCAACCTGTTGCCGACTGTTTAGGGAGACACGCGACGCCCAAACAATGTCCTTGTAGTCTCTACTGCGGTTACGAATCGATTGCGCAAGTGTACCAATCGTATACGACGGTCATCCCTGGCGGTCGTTTTACGGGGTCGGCCGCTTCGGGGACGATGGGATGTTGACCCAGTTTGGTTTAAACAACTTACCAACTGGCAAATTGTCTTAACACTGCAACCAAAATGCCGTGCAACTCGATGGCGAGACTCCACAGCCTGGATCATGCCTACAGCCCTTTCTCTCTGTACTTGTGACAGCCGGGGCATAATGATAAAGTTGATAGATAGCAAGATTCGGTGATTTCTAAGTCCTAAGGACCTAAGGAACAGTTGTCAGTTTGAAGTTTTATGAAATTCAAGCGAAGATACAAGTTAGTCGCAGAAAACCTCGTGCAGCTCTTTCGCTAATACAGACTTTCACGCTTGAATGATTTTGGTAACCCCCTTGGATTTTGTAATGTAAAACATAACCATTTTCTAATATTGCACAAACGTCATTTTTATTTCACTCATTTACAGGTATTCGCCAAGGAAACATGTTAACCTTTCTTTTTTTGTTGAGTATATATGGTTACACGTGTTGTGGTACATTTTACCTCCGCGTGTATACACGTTTAATACCAACAGTCACTCTATAGTACTTCTGTGTTCCTGAACTAAAGTGCCATTTAATCAAATGAAAACTTTCGCAGTGTCAACAATCTTATTGTGACTGTTACTTTGATGTTTTAAGAACTCTGTAAAACAACCAACCAACCAACAAAAAGGTCGAACCTTAAACATATAAATATAACATTTTATTATAACAAATGTATTTAAGTAGTGAATAGTCGCGAAATGGTGTTATGGTCATAATTATATCGTGTAAAAACAGTGGTTCATAGTAGTAAATAATTAGATGTGGCCCGAATCATTGTGGCGTTCTATCGACTTTATATATCGGGCTGGAGTGGAAACTGAATGTTGATATAACGTCAGAATGATAGTGTATTCGGAATCTGTTCTAAGTAACAAATCATTTAAAACATCTATACTTTCTTGACTTGCTTTCCTGAACATTTCAGCTGACAACTCATTGTCAGTGGTGTTAATGGAGGAGTTTAATATGGGTTATTAATTACGACCATGTATGGCGGCCATCTTGCATTTTGCTGATATCATTATAGGTAAGTTTTAACTAAATCTCATCGGTGGAATGGCCAGAAAACCGTAATGGTATAATCACTTTACGAACTGGCCATAATAACCGCCAAATCGAGTTCAGTTTGACAAAGTCAAAAAGTGACACCATCTCTACGAATTTTCAGATCAAAGACATTGACCAGTGGACCTGGGGAAGAGTTTTAAGATTTTTTCCCAGATGGAAGCTTGTGAGGCTATAGTGACTCTCTTGGATTTTGGACCAACAAAAATACATGTACATATATTTATATTACAGCCAAATTAGTTTAGTTTTTCACTCCACTCTCCTCGTATACAACGTTTCAAAGAATATCAATTTGCAGCAAAAACTACAGATTGAAAAAATGTAAAGAGGAGGAGGAGGAAGGGGAGAAACAAACAAACTTCTACGGCAATCCCAGCAATTAAAATTTAACGACAGAAGTTGAACTTTAACGTCTAGTCCGTATAATTTTAAATAGTTTTTTTAGAGAACAGCGACCGTCTTGGAATTCGGACTAACTCGTAAAAAGAGCACCTGATGTTCCAGAACCGTCGGGTCAGGTAATATTAAAACCACCGTTAATATCAAGAGAGCGCCTGACGCTCCTGAACCGCCGGATTAGATAATGTTAAAACCACCGTTAATATCAAGAGCACCTGACGTTCCTGAACCGCCGGGTTAGGTGATGTTAAAACCACCGTTATTATCAACAGCACCTGACGTTCCTGAACCGCCGGATTAGATAATATTAAAACCATCGTTAATATCAAGAGCGCCTGACGTTCCTGAACCGCCGGGTTAGGTAATGTTAAAACCACCGTTAATATCAACAGCACCTGACGTTCCTGAACCGCCGGGTTAGGAAATATTAAAGCCAACGTTAATATCAAAAACACAATACTGATCTACGTAACAAATGACGGTCAACTCTTATTGATTCACAGAACTTGGTTTTGCAAACTGGGGTTATAAGGTTGTTTTTAGCAAATTTCCCAAATGAAACATTTTAGTGAGAATAAAATAAAGAAAAGAAAGAAAGAAAACAAGATTTCCCCCCCCCCCAAAAAAAAATAAGAAAATCAAATAAGAAAAAAATCACAAACATTTTTTTTGACTATTTGAAACGAATTGATTTAATCGTACTAATTTCATAAATGTATGCTCGCCAATGTTAAAGTGGTTAACTACAATGACATCTCGATTTCTGTTATCTTAAATATATCGATATCTACTTTCAATGTCTACTTTAATATTTGAATTGTCCTATAGAAACATAATTACTATCATTTTAAATATATGGTGATCAAACTTGTCCAGAAGCTTTATCTACTAAACAGGCTGATTAAGTCGTTCGAGCAACACAAATGCAAGTTCTCCGGCTTCCTGTCCAACCGACCTTTCAGTTTCGGTTGTAGGGCTGTGAATCATGGCAGCTACAATATGTCGTCTCGTGATTCTGGCTGTGTCCATCGTTTTGTCGGCATGTCAGACAAAAGAAACAAACTACGTGATTGGAGCAGGTATTGCAGATATTACCGGACCAGCAGCCGGAATTAATATGGTAATATACCCGTATTTCTTATTGTTTTATACAGCCCTGTCAACCTACGGGTGTAGCTACGCAGACCGGTTCTGTCAATAGAAGCTTGAACCAAACATTGTTGTTATATGATATTAAAGACATGGGCTTATGAAATTACATAAGCATTTTCTCATTCATTTAGAACAGTCATGCAGTGAGACGCGGAATACCTTCTCCCACACCACCCCAATTACGTAATATATTCATTGTATAACTGTAAGCTTTCATTTTCTTTCGTACATGCGCCCCAAGTTCAGAGACAGCAATTTTGGAGATTCGTCTCTTATAGGAAGAATCCCAATGTGTTAAGGAAGAAGCTCATTGTGTTTAGGAAGAAGCTCAATGTGTTAAGGAAGAAGCTCAATGTGTTAAGAAAGAACTCAATGTGTTTAGGAAGAAGCTCATTGTGTTTAGGAAGAAGCTCAATGTGTTTAGGAAGAAGCTCAATGTGTTTAGGAAGAAGCTCAATGTGTTTAGGAAGAAGCTCAATGTGTTAAGGAAGAAGCTCAATGTGTTAAGGAAGAAGCTCAATGTGTTTAGGAAGAAGCTCAATGTGTTTAGGAAGAAGCTCAATGTGTTTAGGAAGAAGCTCAATGTGTTAAGGAAGAACTCAATGTGTTAAGGAAGAAGCTCAATGTGTTTAGGAAGAAGCTCAATGTGTTAAGGAAGAAGCTCAATGTGTTTAGGAAGAAGCTCAATGTGTTTAGGAAGAAGCTCAATGTGTTAATTTGGTAATGCCACTGTGTAATGAAGAAGGTTATGCTGTGATAAGCTTAGGCCTTGTGTCACAAAAATATTTTATATCATTTGTGGTTCTTAACTTTGTTTTAATAAAAAAAAGTTTTCAATGAACACTACCCTTGAAGGATGTTGTAGTATGACAGTTGTGCTTAATGAAAAACATGAAACCTGGTATTTTTGCTAGAGATCTATAATGTATTGGCACAATGAACATGTACAATAATTTAAAAACAAAACAGTCTCTACCTAATGTAGGTATACATTTTTCTTTTCAAATAATACTCTGCATCATGGTGCCTGTTGGATTTTAAATCAAAATATTTCGGCTAATTTGCAGATATACTTTGAACCGGTTACTACTGTACAGGTTTGGACAGACAAAAATTTAAATTGTAACCCTGTATGTTATGACAGGCCTTATACTTCACTCTCCATAATTAAATTTCCCTACTTTGTCTAATGATGTGATGAATCTGAATTAAAGATATTTATATAAATCATGTAGTCTGTAAGAATTCTAGATGAATGCTTCAAAGAAATGTATACATGTGGCTCGTTGTATGTCTAAGTGAATCACATACGCAGGTATGATGTGGAAATACCATTTTTATTCCATTATTGTTAAGGTAACCATGAGGTCTGAGATAGTGTTATCTGGAAAAAAAACCCATGCCGAATCATTTTTAGCTGGTGTTGTGTAGGTGTATGTAAAGTACAATAGGCACAGATGTTCCATTCTCACATTGATTGCATTATTACATACTGTAGGTGAACTTGTCAGCATTTGGCAGACAGTTTGAATAGGCTTGGCCAGCTTCAATGTTTTACTCAAAAAGTCCACAGCTTTGTACTTGTGACAGTAATTTGAACCTAGAACCTTTATGATGTTGTCGACAGAAGGGTTTCTCTTTAGATATCACATGCCATATTGAATTAATTTTGAAATTGCATAAAGTTAGATAAAAAATAAAGTAACCAATTTAATTGTAGTAAGATATGCCGAGTGGAAGAATCTTTGATGTTCATGGACTCATCTGTCTTTGTTAAAGGGACATGTACATTAGATATATATGGGGTCAGGTCACTTGCAGGTGACCGCAAAGTGCTTATCTTTTATATGACTGTGATGGTATGACAAACCCAGTTGTGGAGCAACAGTAGCTGTTTAATTGTATACTTGATATGTTTCTCAACATTTGTCAACAGTATACAAACACATTAGGATAAAAACAAACATTGAGGTCATGGGCTGATAAGGTCCTATACATTTCCTAGTATCTAGGCTGGTGTAACCTGGGTTAATGAGGAGATCATGATGGTTGTTACCAACATACAATTGTTACTACTCATCTCTTCCTATACTGAATGTCCTGATGGGAAGATAAAGCACCACAAAAACTGGAAAGACATCAGGATAATCATAAAAAAAAATTATAATTGCCAAATCAGTTATAATTCTCCTCGTAAATCTTGTAAGATAATCTGCCATACATACTCCACACATCTTGTATGTTGTCTCTTGGTTTCACTGTTAAGGAAAATGCCTTGTAAAATTATTGGTATGTACATGTATTTACGCAATGCATTCTCATAGCATCAGGACAGAGTATCATTAGCATCAAATTTTCAAGTACACACCTGACTTTCATGGCTTATGATATTGTAATGGTGTTTTTACACCTCAGAATTTCTAACTTTATATTATGCATTGTAAGGATTTTACAGAAGAGATTTGTTCTATGCTAATATAGTGTGATATAAATATGACAATTTTACAGAAGGGAATTTGTTCTACAGTAATATATATGTGACGTAATTATTATGACAATTTTACGGAAGGGAATTTGTTCTATGCTAATATAGTGTGATATAAATATTATGACAATTTAACGGAAGGGTTTTGTTTTATGCTAATGTGATATAAATATTATGACAATTTGAACAGATGGGATATGCTAACCCTGCACAAATATCCAGTGGACTACACCTGAGACAGTATTCGAGAGCGTTCATCGTGTCTGAGAAGAGTTCTAGTTCCCCAGTAGTGTTCATTAGTACCGATTCATGCATGCAGTCACAGGATCTGAAATTGGAGGTAACTTGAGATTAAACTAAAGTAAAATATTTTTATCTTGTGTATATCACATGATGTGCAGTTGTATTCTGTTATATATATGTAGAATAATTTTAACACTATATAGTAATGTCACACCTGTATTTATATATTAACATTGCACCTGTGTTATATCATTTTGCCTGTATAAGTGCAGCTTTGCACCTGTGTTATTTTACCTGTATTTGTACAACACATCTGGAATAGTATTGACTGTACTCATTTATTCAGGTCGTCAGAAAATTGAAAGCAAAGTATGGAAAGCTTTATACAGAAAGGAATATCTGTATCAGTGGGACACACACTCACTCTGGGCCTGGAGGGTTCCATCAGTACCTACTCTACGATATTACCTCCCTTGGATTTGTCAATGAAACACTTCAGGCATATGTTGATGGAATTGTAAAGGTAAGATTACTGAAACACACAAGGTAATGATATAGGATATATAAAGTACATAATGTATTTGTTATAGTATATCTTGTATGTTTATGATTGAGAGATAATCATAGGGACTCAGAAAACTCTGAGTTATGATGTCTAGCCCAGAAGAATAAAAATTAAGGGGTTTTCTAACACCTGAAAGAATATTTCCCACACATGAATTAAATGAAAATTAATAAATTAATTAAAAACTTGTATTTTAGAGTGTAGATAATGCACATATGGCCAGGAAGCCAGGCAATATCTACATCAACACTGGGGAACTACTGGACAGCAACATCAACAGGAGTCCAGCCGCTTATGTCAGAAATCCACCAGAGGAAAGAGCCAGGTAACAAATATCTGCACAGGTACAAAATATTAATAACTTAAGAAACCCTCTAGAGGAAACAGCCAGGTAACAAATATCTGCACAGGTACAAAATATTAGTAACTTAAGAAACCCTCTAGAGGAAACAGCCAGGTAACAAATATCTGCACAGGTACAAAATATTAGTAACTTAAGAAACCCTATAGAGGAAACAGCCAGGTAACAAATATCTGCACAGGTACAAAATATTAATAACTTAAGAAACCCTCTAGAGGAAACAGCCAGGTAACAAATGTCTGCACAGGTACAAAATATTAGTAACTTAAACTCTCCAAAGGAAAGAGCCAGGTAACATATATCTACACAGGTACAAAATATTAGTAACTTAAGAAACTCCAGATTAAAGAGATAGGTAACAAATATCTGCACAGGTACAAAATATTAGTAACTCGAGAAACCTACTAGAGGAAACAGCCAGGTAACAAATATCTGCACAGGTACAAAATATTAGTAACTCGAGAAACCTACTAGAGGAAACAGCCAGGTAACAAATATCTGCACAGGTACAAAATATTAATAACTTAAGAAACCCTCTAGAGGAAACAGCCAGGTAACAAATGTCTGCACAGGTACAAAATATTATTAACTTAAACTCTCCAGAGGGAAGAGCCAGGTAACACATATCTGCTCAGGTACAACATATTTGTAACTTAAGAAACATTCTGAAGGTCTATTTATCATTAAATTCAATGTTTTTTTCTTTGTAAATTTTGTAAAGATGATATATATAGTATGTATAAATTCATTATTATATCATAATCAATGTGTCTCACTTACACCTACAGGTACAACTACAATGTTGACAAGAACATGACCGTTCTGAAGATGGTAGATGCTGAAGGCAAGGGCATAGGAATGATCAGGTGATTACTGAGTGATATAAATCAGAATTTTGTATATAATACTGAGTGATATTATACCCCAAACTTAAGTAAGAAGGGGTATATATAATACTGAGTGATATTATACCCCCAACATAAGTAAGAAAGGGTATATAATACTGAGTGATATTATACCCCCAACATAAGTAAGAAGAGGTATATAATACTGAGTGATATTATACCCCCAACATAAGTAAGAAAGGGTATATAATACTGAGTGATATTATACCCCCAACATAAGTAAGGAGGGGTATATAATACTGAGTGATATTATACCCCCAACATAAGTAAGAAGGGGTATATAATACTGAGTGATATTATACCCCCAACATAAGTAAGGAGGGGTATATAATACTGAGTGATATTATAACCCCAACATAAGTAAGGAGGGGTATATAATACTGAGTGATATTATACCCCCAACATAAGTAAGAAAGGGTATATAATACTGATTGATATTATACCCCCAACATAAGTAAGGAGGGGTATATAATACTGAGTGATATTATACCCCCAACATAAGTAAGGAGGGGTATATAATACTGAGTGATATTATACCCCCAACATAAGTAAGGAGGGGTATATAATACTGAGTGATATTATACCCCCAACATAAGTAAGGAGGGGTATATAATACTGAGTAATATTATACCCCCAACATAAGTAAGGAGGGGTATATAATACCGTTTAAAATGCTTGTGTATAATATATCCCATAAACCTCTGAATAGTATTCGACATGTATTCTAACAATGATTGACATGTAATCTAACAATGATTGACATGTATTCTAACAATGATTGACATGTAATCTAACAGTGTTTGACATGTATTCTAACAATGATTGACATGTATTTTAACAATGATTGACATGTAATCTAACAGTATTTGACATGTATTCTAACAGTATTTGACATGTATTCTAACAGTGTTTGACATGTATTCTAACAGTGTTTGACATGTATTCTAACAGTATTTGACATGTTTTCTAACAGTATTTGACATGTATTCTAACAGTATTTGACATGTAATCTAACAGTATTTGATATGTATTCTATAGTATTTGACATGTTTTCTAACAGTGTTTGACATCTATCTTAACAGTGTTTGACATGTATTCTAACAGTATTTGACATGTTTTCTAACAGTATTTGACATGTATTCTAACAGTATTTGACATGTATTCTAACAGTATTTGACATGTATTCTAACAGTATTTGACATGTATTCTAACAGTATTTGACATGTATTCTAACAGTATTTGACATGTATTCTAACAGTATTTGACATGTATTCTAACAGTGTTTGACATGTATTCTAACAGTATTTGACATGTATTCTAACAGTGTTTGACATGTATTCTAACAGTGTTTGACATGTATTCTATAGTATTTGACATGTATTCTAACAGTGTTTGACGTGTATTTACAGCTGGTTTGCAGTACACTGTACCAGTATGAACAACACCAACGGGTTGGTGAGCAGTGACAACAAAGGATACGCCTCTCAACTGATGGAGGAAAACTTCACCCAGGACTTTCCAGGCAATGTGTGTCGATATAAAATATATATGTAATATATTCTAGCTGTATGTATCTCAGTAGTCTGTTACTTGTCAACAGGAATATCTAGTAGGTATCTTCACCCAGGACTTTCCAGGCAATGTGTGTAGATATATATAAATATATATGTAATATATTCTAGCTGTATGTCTCTCAGTAGTCTGTTACTTGTCAACAGGAATATCTAGTAGGTATCTTCACCCAGGACTTTCCAGGCAATGTGTGTAGATATATATATATAAATATATATGTAATATATTCTAGCTGTATGTCTCTCAGTAGTCTGTTACTTGTCAACAGGAATATCTAGTAGGAATCTTCATCCATAGATAATCAGCTGTATTAATACTGATCTGTGTGTTTGAAGGAATCTCTGTAGTAAGATCACACCTCTTGGTAACTAGTACAGTATATGATGCCTGTATAAATTAGTGTCAATGTAGGATGGTTATACACCTGACCAAACATTATTCTCTGTTGGTGAGATAGTAAGATTACCCAGATGATTTGAAACAGCAAGGTGTAACACATGTATCACTGCTCTAACTGGTACACCTCAAAATACTTGTTTCCTGTACTATCAGCAGTACATGGTATAACTTTACGTCACAGTATATATTAATAACTATTCCATTTATCTATTAAAGGGTAAATTTGTGGCAGCCTTTGCACAATCTAATGAAGGAGATGTATCTCCCAACACTGCTGGACCAAAATGTCTTGACACAGGAAAACCTTGTGATCTTCCTACAAGCACCTGTAATGGCAGGGTGAGTATCTACAGTACTTGTCATAGCTGGGTGAGTATCTACAGTACCTGTAATGACAGGGTGAGTATCTACAGTACCTGTAATGGCAGGGTGAGTATCTACAGTACCTGTAATGACAGGGTGAGTATCTACAGTACCTGTAATGGCAGGGTGAGTATCTACAGTACCTGTAATGGCAGGGTGAGTATCTACAGTACCTGTAATGGCAGGGTGAGTATCTACAGTACCTGTAATAGCAGGGTGAGTATCTACAGTACCTGTAATAGCAGGGTAAGTATCTACAGTACTTGTAATGGCAGGATGAGTATCTACAGTACCTGTAATGGCAGGGTGAGTATCTACAGTACTTGTAATGGCAGGATGAGTATCTACAGTACCTGTAATGACAGGGTGAGTGAGTATCTACAGTACCTGTAATGGCAGGGTAAGTATCTACAGTACCTGTAATAGCAGGATGAGTATCTACAGTACCTGTAATGGCAGGGTGAGTATCTACAGTACCTGTAATAGCAGGATGAGTATCTACAGTACCTGTAATGACAGGGTGAGTGAGTATCTACAGTACCTGTAATAGCAGGATGAGTATCTACAGTACCTGTAATGGCAGGGTGAGTATCTACAGTACCTGTAATGGCAGGGTAAGTATCTACAGTACCTGTAATAGCAGGATGAGTATCTACAGTACCTGTAATGGCAGGGTGAGTATCTACAGTACCTGTAATGGCAGGGTAAGTATCTACAGTACCTGTAATGGCAGGGTAAGTATCTACAGTACCTGTAATAGCAGGATGAGTATCTACAGTACCTGTAATGGCAGGATGAGTATCTTTATGCAAAATTTGTTTGCATTATATATCCTCACACTGCATATCTTGGCATTTTTATCAACCTGTTTTAAACTGAGGAGTAATGTAAGGACTTTCAAGAAGATTGAGACTTATTATTGACATCTGTTTTATTGTTTAAAAAATATACAGAGTAACATTATTTAAGATATTTAAAACATGACTTATTTACAGAATGAACAATGTGTCGCCTTTGGACCTGGGAAAGACATGTTTGAGAGTACAAAGATAATCGGGGAGAACCAGTATAAAAAAGCCATGGAGCTGTATAATAAAGCTACAGTACAGTTATCAGGACCAGTGGACTTCAGGCATTCCTATGTAGATATGACCAATGTCCAAGTACAAGTCAACGCCACTACCAAGGTCAGAATACATAACTACCAAGGTCAGAATACATAACTGCCAAGGTCAGAATACTGTTAACATAAATATCAAGGTCAGAATACATAACTACCAAGGTAAGAATACATTTAACATAACTACCAAGGTCAGAATATATAACTACCAAGGTCAGAATACTGTTAACATAACTACCAAGGTCAGAATACTGTAACATAAACAATCAGAATACTACCAAGGTCAGAATACTGTTAACATAACTACATAACTGCCAAGGTCAGAATACTGTTAACATAAATATCAAGGTCAGAATACATAACTACCAAAGTCAGAATACTGTTAACATAACTACCAAGGTCAGAATATATAACTACCAAGGTCAGAATACTGTTAACATAACTACCAAGGTCAGAATACTGTTAACATAACTACCAAGGTCAGAATACATAACTACCAAGGTCAGAATACTGTTAACATAACTACCAAGGTCAGAATACAGTTAACATAACTATCAAGGTCAGAATACTGTTAACATAACTACCAAGGTCAAACTACTGTTAACATAACTACCAAGGTCAAAATACTGTTAACATAACTACCAAGGTCAGAATACTGTTAACATAACTACCAAGGTCAGAATACTGTTAACATAACTACCAAGGTCAGAATACTGTTAACATAACTACCAAGGTCAAAATACTGTTAACATAACTACTAAGGTCAGAATACTGTTAGCATAACTACCAAGGTCAGAATACTGTTAACATAACTACCAAGGTCAGAATACTGTTAATATAACTAACAAGGTCAGAATACTGTTAACATAACTACCAAGGTCAGAATACTGTTAACATAACTACTAAGGTGAGGATGACACACCCAACACTACTTAGAATTATTTAGTGGCTGTATATCTTATCTAGTTGTTCACTCTACTTTATTTTGTGGATACATATCGTTGTTAATTAAGACCATGTCTGGGTAAAACATTACAGATTCCAAATTTATCTTCAAACATTATCGTTGTTAATTAAGACCATGTATGGGTAAAACATTACAGATTCCAAATTTATCTTCAAACAGTATCGTTGTTAATTAAGACCATGTCTGGGTAAAACATTACAGATTCCAAATTTATCTTCAAACATTATAACTTATGTACATTACCCACAGTATTACACGTACCATGATGCAAATGAGGAAGGTATTGTAATGTTCATAGATTCTGTTTCATTACAGGTAAAGACTTGTAACACTGCCATGGGGTTAAGCCATAGATTCTATTTCATTACAGGTAAAGACTCGTAACACTGCCATGGGGTTTAGCCATAGATTCTGTTTTATTACAGGTAAAGACTCATAACACTGCCATGGGGTTAAGCCATAGATTCTATTTCATTATAGGTAAAGACTCATAACACTGCCATGGGGTTAAGCCATAGATTCTATTTCATTACAGGTAAAGACATGTAACACTGCCATGGGGTTAAGCCATAGATTCTATTTCATTACAGGTAAAGACTGGTAACACTGCCATGGGGTTAAGCCATAGATTCTATTTCATTACAGGTAAAGACTGGTAACACTGCCATGGGGTTAAGCCATAGATTCTATTTCATTACAGGTAAAGACTTGTAACACTGCCATGGGGTTAAGCCATAGATTCTGTTTTATTACAGGTAAAGACATGTAACACTGCCATGGGGTTAAGCCATAGATTCTGTTTTATTACAGGTAAAGACATGTAACACTGCCATGGGATTTAGTTTTGCAGCAGGAACAACAGATGGACCTGGAGCATTTAATTTCAACCAAAGTAAGTTTTTAGTAAAAATGTTCTTACAGTGATGGTCATGCTATACATGATAGTGAATCAAAGAGATGGAAAGTTCTTTCTGGTAAAAATGATTCCAAAGTATTCTACCCATTGACTAACCCAATGCCTCAGTATTATAAATTCATCTGAAATTGTAAATGAACAGGTAAATAATACAGGCCCTTTGAACCTCTTCTGTGAATTTACAGGTGATACAACTGGAAATGCTTTTTGGGATGCTATACGAAATTTCATCAAGGCACCTTCTCCTGAACAAGTGAAATGTCACCATCCAAAGCCAATTTTACTGGACACTGGGGAGGTATATATATATGTATGACAAGCTTATTACAAAGGCTCTGTAGCAGAATCTGGTGTGTATTTAAAACTCCCAATACAGGAAACAGGATTGTACTTTTACTAGAAATAACCAAGATCAACAAGGTCACTTAACAAGTTAAGTATTTTCTAAGAAATAAGATTTCCCCCGTCTGGCAAAAATGTAGGGGTGTACATCTTGTCCCTCACTTTGTCAGTCTGTCTGTCTGTGAACAGTTCGGATGACAACTCCTTTTGCACTTGCCAGGGCAATTAGAGAGCATGTGTAGGGTTAACATGTTCCTGGAAATTTTTCAGCAGAAAGTTCAGTTGCCATGGTAACCAGGTCACTATACACAGGTTTTATTATAATGGCCCATAGTTCACAAGTCTTTTGATATTTTTTTATGAAACATGGTTAACTCTTATAACAAGTCAAAGCATTTAATTTGACACATCAGTTGTTTCCACGGCCATTACTCTGGAAACAAAATAGAGGCTTCTGATTGGTCGAAATGAGTTATTGTTTGATTGTGTTAAAAATTGATATAGAAGGGCTTTGAAGAATAGTAATTACAAACATTACAGTGCTATTTTAAAAACCATGGATGTGATTTAGTTGACATGACAACCAAATAAGACCTATCATTAGAGGGATCTTGTCCTAAATTTTCATTGAAACTATACAGAAATAATATAAATCATGTGTTGTTGTGAATGCAGGTTTTTTTTTCTTTTTGCAAACAATTTGGTTGCCTTGGTAACACTTTACATATGTATTTGTGTAATGGTCAATAGCTATTATAATATATAGTTAGGGGATGGAGCATGGTAAGAGAATGGTTCATATTGAGAGAAGTTCTAGGTAGTACATAAAACATTGATGTCACTTTTTGTGTAAACTCTTGGTATCTACAAGGGAAGATGTGTTATTAAGATGACAGTCCCAGTTTTGTGTGACCTCCTGAAACCAGTCAGGGTTTTCTCAAACATTTACAAGTAGGACATCTGGCAAGTATGTCAAGTATAAGGACAACATTAATTAAGTATCTGGGTATATTGTACAAGAAAGTTTATACGAGGGAGGAAATTCAGTAATGGGGACAGCAAAACTTGGAATGGCCAACAGTGGGACTAGTATCAGGTATAGTCAATGGTTGTCTATAACAGTATTGTGATGGGTCGGCAGTGATATACAGTGATAGGTTATAGATCAGAGAGTACTATGTTTAAGTATTATACAAGATGTGATGATATGAAATTAACCGTTGCCTTACTGAGTATATGTTACTTTACAGATCACCTTCCCTTATGCTTGGCAGCCCTCTATTGTTGATGTACAGATACTGAGAATTGGACAATTAGCCATTCTGGGTGTCCCAGCAGAATTCACGTAAGCCATTAAAACAAGTTAGCCATTCTGGGTGTCCCAGCAGAATTCACGTAAGCCATTAAAACAAGTTAGCCATTCTGGGTGTCCCAGCAGAATTCACGTAAGCCATTAAAACAAGTTAGCCATTCTGGGTGTCCCAGCAGAATTCACGTAAGCCATTAAAACAAGTTAGCCATTCTGGGTGTCCCAGCAGAATTCACGTAAGCCATTAAAACAAGTTAGCCATTCTGGGTGTCCCAGCAGAATTCACGTAAGACATTTAAACAAGTTAGCCATTCTGGGTGTCCCAGCAGAATTCACGTAAGCCATTAAAACAAGTTAGCCATTCTGGGTGTCCCAGCAGAATTCACGTAAGCCATTAAAACAAGTTAGCCATTCTGGGTGTCCCAGCAGAATTCACGTAAGCCATTAAAACAAGTTAGCCATTCTGGGTGTCCCAGCAGAATTCACGTAAGCCATTAAAACAAGTTAGCCATTCTGGGTGTTCCAGCAGAATTCACGTAAGCCATTTAAACAAGTTAGCCATTCTGGGTGTCCCAGCAGAATTCACGTAAGCCATTTAAACAAGTTAGCCATTCTGGGTGTCCCTGCAGAATTCACGTAAGCCTTTAAAACAAGTTAGCCATTCTGGGTGTCCCAGCAGAATTCACGTAAGCCATTGAAACAAATTAGCCATTCTGGGTGTCCCAGCAGAATTCACATAAGCCATTAAAACAATTAGCCATTCTGGGTGTCCCTGCAGAATTCACGTAAGCCATTAAAACAAGTTAGCCATTCTGGGTGTCTCAGCTGAATTCACATAAGCCATTAAAACAAGTTAGCCATTCTGGGTGTCCCAGCAGAATTCACGTAAGCCATTAAAACAAGTTAGCCATTCTGGGTGTCCCAGCAGAATTCACATAAGCCATTAAAACAATTAGCCATTCTGGGTGTCCCAGCAGAATTCACGTAAGCCATTAAAACAAGTTAGCCATTCTGGGTGTCCCAGCTGAATTCACGTAAGCCATTAAAACAAGTTAGCCATTCTGTTGTCCCAGCTGAATTCACGTAAGCCATTGAAACAAGTTAGCCATTCTGGGTGTCCCTGCAGAATTCACGTAAGCCATTAAAACTATTAAGCCATTTTTGTGTGTCCCAGCAGAATTCACATAAGTCATTGAAACAAATCAAAAATAAGATATATAACCATACTGGGTGTCCCTGCTGAATTCATATTAGCCTTTTAAACAAGTTAACCATTCGGGTGTTCCTGCTGACACTACCACTTTCAATGTCCACAGGTTATGTCTTCACTGAGAATCCAATTTGTTGACAAATATTTTTATAGAAGTTTGATTTTTATTCAGAACTATGTCTGGGAGAAGAACAAGAGATGCTGTTACAAAGGTAAGTGTTATTGTTATAACAGCACTGTTATAGTGAAGGACATTGGGAATTTTAACATGATCATTGTGTGATGAGGGCAGTATACTGATGATGATAAAATACTGACTAAGGTGTGTGTGAGATGCGGGCAGTATACTGATGATGATAAAATACTGACTAAGGTGTGTGTGAGATGAGGGCAGTGATGATGATGATGAGTAAAATACTGACTAAGGTGTGTGTGAGATGAGGGCAGTATACTGATGATGATAAAATACTGACTAAGGTGTGTGTGAGATGAGGGCAGTATACTGATGATGATAAAATACTGACTAAGGTGTGTGTGAGATGACTGATGATGGATAAAATAACTAAGGTGTGTGTGAGATGACTAAGGTGTGTGTGGTGTGTGTGACTGATGATGGTAAAATACTGACTAAGGTGTGTGTGAGATGAGGGCAGACTGATGATGTAAAATACTGACTAAGGTGTGTGTGAGAAGGTGTGTGTGAGATGAGGGCAGTATACTGATGATGATAAAATACTGACTAAGGTGTGTGTGAGATGAGGGCAGTATACTGATGATGATAAAATACTGACTAAGGTGTGTGTGAGATGAGGGCAGTATACTGATGATGGTAAAATACTGACTAAGGTGTGTGTGAGATGAGGGCAGTATACTGATGATGATAAAATACTGACTAAGGTGTGTGTGAGATGACTGATGATGATAAAATACTGACTAAGGTGTGTGTGAGATGACTGATGATGGTAAAATACTGACTAAGGTGTGTGTGAGATGACTGATGATGGTAAAATACTGACTAAGGTGTGTGTGAGATGAGGGCAGTATACTGATGATGATAAAATACTGACTAAGGTGTGTGTGAGATGAGGGCAGTATACTGATGATGATAAAATACTGACTAAGGTGTGTGTGAGATGACTGATGATGGTGAAATACTGACTAAGGTGTGTGTGAGATGAGGGCAGTATACTGATGATGATAAAATACTGACTAAGGTGTGTGTGAGATGAGGGCAGTATACTGATGATGATAAAATACTGGCAGTATAATGATGATGATAAAATACTGACTAAGGTGTGTGTGAGATGACTGATGATGGTGAAATACTGACTAAGGTGTGTGTGAGATGACTGATGATGGTGAAATACTGACTAAGGTGTGTGTGAGATGAGGGCAGTATACTGATGATGGTAAAATACTGACTAAGGTGTGTGTGAGATGACTGATGACTAAAATAGGTAAGGTGTGTGTGAGATGATGACTGATGATGATAAAATACTGACTAAGGTGTGTGTGAGATGACTGATGATGATAAAATACTGACTAAGGTGTGTGTGAGATGACTGATGATGGTAAAATACTGACTAAGGTGTGTGTGAGATGACTGATGATGGTGAAATACTGACTAAGGTGTGTGTGAGATGACTGATGATGGTGAAATACTGACTAAGGTGTGTGTGAGATGACTGATGATGGTGAAATACTGACTAAGGTATGTGTGAGATGACTGATGATAGTGAAATACTGACTAAGGTGTGTGTGAGATGACTGATGATGGTGAAATACTGACTAAGGTGTGTGTGAGATGACTGATGATGATAAAATACTGACTAAGGTGTGTGTGAGATGACTGATGATGGTGAAATACTGACTAAGGTGTGTGTGAGATGACTGATGATGGTGAAATACTGACTAAGGTGTGTGTGAGATGACTGATGATGGTGAAATACTGACTAAGGTGTGTGTGGTGTGTGTGAGTGTGTGTGATGATGGTGAAATACTGACTAAGGTGTGTGTGATGATGGTGAAATACTGACTAAGGTGTGTGTGAGATGACTGATGATGGTGAAATACTGACTAAGGTGTGTGTGAGATGACTGATGATGGTGAAATACTGACTAAGGTGTGTGTGAGATGACTGATGATGATAAAATATTGACAAAGGTGTGTGTGAGATGAGGGCAGTATACTGATGATGGTAAAATACTGACTAAGGTGTGTGTGAGATGAGGGCAGTATACTGATGATGGTAAAATACTGACTAAGGTGTGTGTGAGATGACTGATGATGGTAAAATACTGACTAAGGTGTGTGTGAGATGACTGATGATGGTGAAATACTGACTAAGGTGTGTGTGAGATGACTGATGATGATAAAATACTGACTAAGGTGTGTGTGAGATGACTGATGATGGTAAAATACTGACTAAGGTGTGTGTGACATGAAGGCAGTATACTGATGATGGTTAATTACTTGTAACAAGTCTTCCTGTTGTAAGTTAGAAGTATGGACTGTTTTTTTTCCAGGCACTGATACAGGGAGGACTATCGTCTGACACAGTCTCTGTGATCGCTGGTCTATCTAATGATTATGCTGATTATGTTACCACCTACGAGGAATACCAGGTAAGAATGATGTATAAATACTACGGTAATGATAATGTATTCAACCAATTACAGTAAAAGTTGGATTATCATTTATTGTAAAACCAGGAAATAAATTCACTTATAGTTATTTTATAGGAACTACTGTTCCTCTTCATCAGACCTGAGCGATATTTACTTCCAGCCTATGTCTGTCAATTCCTGATGACCCTGCGTCCATTTCTACTCTATAGTGTAAAGGCATCTCATGATTTTCCTGAAGAGCTGTTCCTGGCTGTGACACTATTCCAAACTCTACAAAATCACCCTTGTCATGTGTCTTTGTTTCTGCAGGCTGGTTGGATATAAAGTTAGATGTGATATTTACGTATCTGTAGTAGTCTGTACTCAAGATTTAAATATATCTAGCTTTATCATGGCTGATTCTGGTAGGTTTAACTAAAGAAATAGTTTTTATATCAATAAGTACGTTTTAGTTGAATAGGATATTTGGTTATAATTTGATGTTTGTGTTTGCCGTTGGAGAGGCATACATGTATATAAAACAAATTAAAGTTAAATAGTTGCAATGCCATCTTATTGACCTTTCTGCACTTTAAATCCAGTATATATATTGCAAGGTTTCTAAATTGATGTAAAGTGGGGGCTCTATTTTATGTTGAGATAAGCTTCAAACTTCAAAACAGTAATGACTAAAAAAGTAAACTGTAGCCATCACACTGAATTGTCAAGGAATTAAATAATATATATTTGATGGTTACAGAAACAAAGTGATGAGGAATCAATTTACATACCTGTGATGTATATAGAAAAAAAAACTGTGTAACGATGTGAAAACAATGATGATTACATAAGTTTTTATGTAAACATGTTCTATTGTCAATGATTTTCCACCATATTTGCTACAGCAACAAAGATATGAGGGAGGATCAACAATATATGGACCAAACACACTGCAAGCCTTCATACAGGAACTTGTCAAACTGGCCAACAACATGACAAAGGTAGGTCTTCAGCAAAAGTTTAAGTCAATACAACATTTTATTATTATTAGAGAGAAGGCCTCATTCCCTCTTCAGACCAAATCCTCTGTGATATTGGCAATTTTAACCAAATATATTAATTAGGGCCCCGCATCGCGATGCGGGTGCCCTATAGTAATCACCTTGTCCGTCTGTCCGTCTGTCTCGCCGTCTGTCCGTCCGTCTGTCTGTCCGTCTGTCTGTCCGTTTCGCTTTCCGCACGATATCTTGAGAAGGAATGATGAGATTTCGATGAAACTTGCTTATGATACTTGGTACATAAGTCCCTCGCTCAAGTTCGATGTTCGCCAAATTCCGTGCATATTTAATGAGGCTGCTGCAATCTGATTGGCTGAATGTTTTACATGTCTGTCGGTTTCGCTTTCCGCGCGATATCTTGAGAAGGAATGATGGGATTTCGATGAAACATGCTTATGATACTTGGTACATAAGTCCCTTGCTCAAGTTCGATGTTCGCCAAATTCCGCGCATATTTAATGAGGCTGCTGCAATCTGATTGGCTGAATGTTTTACATGTCTGTCGGTTTCGCTTTCCACGCGATATCTTGAGAAGGAATGATGGGATTTCGATGAAACTTGCTTATGATACTTGGTACATAAGTCCCTTGCTCAAGTTCGATGTTCGCCAAATTCCGTGCATATTTAATGAGGCTGCTGCAATCTGATTGGCTGAATGTTTTACATGTCTGTCGGTTTCGCTTTCCACGCGATATCTTGAGAAGGAATGATGGGATTTCGATGAAACTTGCTTATGATACTTGGTACATAAGTCCCTTGCTCAAGTTCGATGTTCGCCAAATTCCGTGCATATTTAATGAGGCTGCTGCAATCTGATTGGCTGAATGTTTTACAGAGAATATCTTCTGAAGGAATGATTTGGGATTTCTTTAAAACTTGCTTTGTGATACTTGGTACATAAGCCCCTCATTCGAGTTCAATGTTCACCCTGTCCGTCTGTCTGTCTAGGCGTTTCCCTGTCCGTCGATCCATATATCTGTCCATCTGTCCATTTTCATTGGATTTTGATGAAAGTTGCTTTCAATACTTGACACCTGTCCATATATTTCTTAATATTAAGAAACTCAATCATAAGGGGTAGGTATTATGCGGGGCCCTTCCTCGACATTGGTCTAGTTTCAGGGTGAGCCTGCCTCCCCAGGACCAAATCCTCTGAATTATGTACAATTTTAACCTTACATATTAATTTCAGGGTGAGCCTGCCTCCCCAGGACCAAATCCTCCTGATCTGATTAGTAAAGAGTGGGGGTTTGTACCCCCGGTGATATTTGATGCAGCACCACGAGGATTTGGAACCCTGTTGTCTCAAATGCAACCTTCCTATAAACAGGTAAGTATTCACTAACATTTATGGAACTTCTACAATAGGTGCTTGTTTGTACTGAAATACTGAGGCAGAAATTTGTGTCTTACCCTACAAAGTATTAATGGTAATATTGTTCAGTTGGTATTAGTATGTAGCAGTTACTATAACAAAAGACAAGTGTGTAATTCACACATTGATTTGGTTCATAATTTACTTATTATACGCTGTGTTATCAAACTGGTTCTTCTGTTTCTCTGTTTTGGTATGAGGTTAGTATAGTGTATTTTAATATCTGGCTTTGACATATATTATCAGGGAACAAGAGTTCAAGCTAAATTTGCAGCAGCACATCCACGGAATAACAGACGGGTAAGTTACACCATCATTTAATTACAGCTGATGTATATGTTAAGTTACACTTACTGTATGTTAAGTTACACTGCCTGTATGTGAAGTTTCACAAGCTGTAAGAAGTTTTCACAAGCTGTGAGAAAGTTACACCAGCTGTAAGAAAGTTTCACTAGCTGTATGTAAACTTTCACCAGCTGTATGTAAACTTTCACCTGCTGTATGTAAACTTTCATCAGCTGAATGTAAAGTTTCTCCCGCTGTATGTAAACTTTCACTAGCTGTGTGTAAACTTTCACCAGCTGTGTATAAAGTTTCACCAGCTATATGTAAACTTTCACCGGCTGTATGTAAACTTTCACCGGCTATATGTAAACTTTCACCAGCTGTGTGTAAACTTTCACCAGCTATATGTAAACTTTCACCAGCTTTAAGGAAAACTTTCACCAGCTGTATGTAAACTTTCACTAGCTGTGTGTAAAGTATGTAAAGTTACTTGAGATGTGAATATAGATATAGTTTCACCATTGGTATTCACACTTAAGCTTTGAACAAACTGAATGCGAATTTCATATAATCAGATAATTAAAATATTTTAGGATGGCAGTCATATTTTTCTCATAAGGGTTACCTCCCTTATATTTGTGCTTGTTCCTAGCTGACAGTATGCAGCCTCAATAACACAATACCCATTAAAATGATACTAACTAAATGTAATAACTAGATGCAAATCTGACATTGGATACTTAAAGACACGTGGAAAGTTAACTGATGAAGATAAACTTAAGGTATTAAGATAGAATACATATAAGTATTTACATTGTAACTGTTGATAAGTATAAAATGTTCTAATTGAATTTTTCTTTTTTTTTTCTTTAAGGCTGAAGGGACATTCCTGACAGTAGAGCATCAAGTTTCAGCAGATAATTGGCAGGTGGTCTACAAGGACAGTCAATGGTGTACCCAGTAAGTAGTGACAGTGGTTTACAGGGACAGTCAATGGTGTACCCAGTAAGTAGTGACAGTGGTTTACAGGGACAGTCAATGGTGTACCCAGTAAGTAGTGACAGTGGTTTACAGTCAATGGTGTACCCAGTAAGTAGTGACAGTGGTTTACAGGGACAGTCAATGGTGTACCCAGTAAGTAGTGACAGTGGTTTACAGGGACAGTCAATGGTGTACCCAGTAAGTAGTGACCACCTATTGAACGTTTGTCATGAGATTTTGTACAAAATATTTTATTGTCTCTGTCTGAAGACATTTGTTTTGTATAAAAGCATTTATTATAATACAAAATATATGATTTTATAATGAAGAAGTTACAATGAGATGATGTAACACATTTTACATAATCGTTTCAGGTTCCACTGGGTAAGGACAAGTACAATCTTCGGTGAGAGTGAGGTTACCATTATTTGGGACATACCAGCTGATCAAGCACCAGGCACCTATAGACTGCAATACTTCGGAGATTCCAAAAGTCTTTCTGGCACAATCACGCCTTTCTCTGGACAAACCCCAGCCTTCCAAGTCACAATTTAATATCACACGATGTATTACATGATGTCATGACATACTACAGGCAATTGTTTCGAAGCTGATCATGTTGTTATTGGGAAATTATATGTTGTTAATTACCTCAATTAATTGGTATTTTTTTTACTGTAACATGGGAGAATAAGCTATTGATTTGATGGATTGATATTGCAGTGTTTGTTATGGGAAACTAGAGAGACACTTGTTTTTACATTATTAATTCTTTTAAAGATCTCAGATCTCTGTTAAAGGCTATAGTTACACCTCATTGTGCTATGGTGCCAACTGATATTGAATGATAGTTTTTTTTACATCACCTGACTTCAGGGTGGTCATCACCAAGACTATTATCTTATAGATGCTGTGCTTTATTATGTTTTGAAGCTGATAATTGTCCAAACTGATGTTTAGTTGATAATCCTAGTGTACTGATTGAGTTTGTGTGAAACTTTCGTTCTGATTGACTTTAACATTCACCATCCTAACAGCTGATATTATTAAGAAGTCTACTGACCGGTATGATCTGTGCTACAATGATGTTCTGTCAGAAACAGTTTGTACAGCTGATAGAAATCGATTGTGATCCATTAATTTATGTGCCAAAGAATGATGTCGATCCAATTTTATAGAATCTTGATTTCTTAATATGGGATGCATTCCAACACCTTGTTACATGATTTTGATAATTTTTTATGTATATTCAGAAATAAAAATAAAAACTGATCACGTGTTGTCATTTTGTCCCTGCTACTGAGTGACTGGAAGATGATGCAATGACCATTTGTCTGTCCATCTGTCTGATATCAATTTTCCTCAGTCTGTAACCTTCAAGTTAAACAGCTCAAAGACTTTATTTGGATGAAAATATACAATACACAAACATATAAAGTCAAGGTTTGGCCAGTTACTGAGGAGCGAGAGTATGTTTTTAAGATTTTATATATATATTATAGATAGGTGATACAGGCCTTTTGGACCTGGGGTAGTATCACCTGTAATAAAGAGCTTAGAATATCCGTCTACCTGTCCGTCTCTTTTTAATGGAACGTTTTAACAGATCTCGAACAACTGTGGGTATTTGTTAGTTTCTAAGTGTTTTACACGCCTCGGTACAATTCATTGTCTGATACATTTAATATAACATATATATCTGACTAAACTGTACAGATTACTTGAAATGATTTTAATGAAGAACGATTAAGAACCCGTTTCCAATGATTTCCTGTAATTATACAGTTATTACATGTATATGTTATTATGTTGTGAGATCCCGTATCTAATGACTATACTTTGTATCTGATGGAGTCGTCCTCTGTGTGATTGTGCATTTTTTTAACGTTGTTTGAAATGTGATTATGTCCATGCTCGTGTTAGATAACATTACGCTGGCTGATTTGTAGCCAAAACCCTCAAAAAGACGAGAAACAAAAAACTAAATTCTCGCCTTTTCGTCATTTCGCCTCGCGGATGATATGTCGTCTGAGGATTCAGGTTTGTCATTTTTCGTCTTTCAGGGGCTATAGGACGAAAAATCTCTATTGGATTTTCTTCTTTACGCGATGAAGATAAAACGAAATGGCAAAAAAACAGTCGCCGTTCTTCATACGTGAAGGAAGTAGAGGGAGTAAACATCTTCCTGAGACCAGGTTAGCGGTCACACCATGCACTGAACACATCGCTCAAAATAATGTTGAATCAGTACCTCAGATTACTGTGTTATTGTAAATAACTATCTGGTATATATAGTAGTTCAGCTATTGATCATATTTCACTAATAATGTTGTAATGCTCTGTTGCTCCGCTAATGGTAGTGTTATGAATTGTTGTGTGATCTGTACGTAACATGTGTGTTGTGCACTTTTCTCGCACTAATGACCCAATCTTATGACCTGAATATATATTCTCTCGTAGATACAAAGCTATCACAAGATCACAAATGTGCAGTCTGCCTTAGTCAGGTTGCTGGTTAAAACGAAAAGTGTCGGCATTGTCGAGTTTTTAACAAAATCCTTAAGTAAAGCATACTTTCCTTTGAATATCATAACACTGTCTTAAATTACAACACAGGTCCTATATCATAACACAGTCCTAACACAATCCTATATCATAACAGTCCTATATCATAACACAGTCCTATCTCATAACACAGTCCTATATCATAACACAGTCCTATCTCATAACACAGTCCTATATCATAATAACGTCCTATATCATGATACAGTCCTATATCATAACACAGTCCTATATCGTAACATTCCTATATCATAACACAGTCCTATATCATAACACAGTCCTATATCGTAACATTCCTATATCATAACACAGTCCTATATCATAACAAAGTCCTATATCGTAACACTGTCCTATATCATAACACAGTTCTATATCGTAACACAGTCCTATATCATAACACAGTCCTATATCATAATACAGTCCTATATCATAACACAGTCCTATATCGTAACAGTCCTATATCATAACACTGTCCTATATCATAACAAAGTCCTATATCGTTACACTGTCCTATATCATAACACAGTCCTATATCGTAACACTGTCCTGTATCATAACAGTCATATATCATAACACAGTCCTATATCATAACATAGTCCTATATCATAACACAGTCCTATATCATAACAATGTCCTATATCATAACACAGTCCTATATCATAACAGTCCAATATCATAACACAGTCCTATTTCGTAACACTGTCCTTTATCGTAACAGTCCGATATCATAACACAGTCTTACATCATAACACAGTCTTATATCCTATCACAGTCCTATATCGTAACACAGTCCTGTATCATATCACAGTCCTATATCGTTACAGTCTTGTATCGTAACAGTCCTATATCATCTGAAGTCCACGTCCTAATTATACAAAACACTAAAGCACAGTGCGTGCGGAATTGTTGGAGGATGTTGGGGGCGTGACAGCTGTTGAGGAGAGTGTATATATGGGACCAATCAAGGTACATCACAGAGATGGCGGGTATCGTATCACGTTCATTAAGGCTGACAGCAGCCCAAACAACCTGACACTTCAATTACAATATAATGTATGGGAGACATTAACATCATTATACCAGCAGATATGTAATCAAATTTATCTGATTGGTTGTCAATTTCCATGTGGATAAAGATGTTCAATACTTGACTTAGTCTCCCCAGCTGTAACGTGCTTTATATGTCTAATCACGTGTATATGATAAACAAGATTGTTGTTGCCATCGTTCTCCGTTTAATCCTCAAACTTTTAGTATTAAAAGAGCTTTACATCGAGACATAATCAATCGTTAATGTTTTATCCCAGATCTACGATACAGACAATAAATATTAACAATTAAAAGCCAGAAATATTGACAGGCGGTTAGCACTGATCTGACACTGTATATATCATGTTGTAAGTTGTAAGTCAATTTGACGGATGGATTAAGATATTTTGTAAACAGGAAATCTCTCCAAGTATATGAGACCCACAAAACACTAACACCTATTAATACCACAGGTTAACATCGTAATGGGGATGACAGCGGTGATAAATAGAGATCTATACTGCCACATGTAGGCAAGATTACCCATTCCTCTTGACAAATCCAAGCCGCCTCGACGGTTTAGGAAACACAACCCCAGTAAGATGATATCAATTGCTGTTGTTCTTGTGATAATGGGATATATAGACTAAGAAAAGGCTTTATTGTACGGGAATTGTCTTGGGCCAGCCTAACATAAGCACCAGTTATACCGTGAAGGAGTTGTGATGTCAGAATATATGGTGTTTAAAACGCTTCACGCTTTCTTCCATCTCTCTGTTTTAAGTGAGTGGTAGGTCTGTTGAACGCGTTCAATATAAATCATTGCAAACGTTATTAAAGATTTATAGCGGAGATTCATCTTTTTAATGAGAGTCCGGAAATAAATATCGGAGCAGAACACTCAGAAAATACAACTCTGAAAACGGATAATTTATTTGTGGAGATAAATGATTTGATTAACGATAGCCACGATGATGTAAGAACAGGGAGATTCAATGCTGTCTTATACAATTGAAAATTCGATTCAATAAATCACACGTTACCGACACGTGCTTAGCCCTTTTAAGTTGCACTGTTGCTGTCTCTATGCCAACATTGGTGACACAATAATGGTGGAGGGTTGGAAGGCATGCTTTCTAGTTCATTTATAAAACCCCATCGCCAAGGTGATATAAAATAATTGTTAACTTCAATATAATGCTGAAGCTGATGACAATACATGTCCTCCATTCTTCAATGTGTTCCCCTCCCGAAGTAAAGACGATCATTGCGCAAGCAGTAACGTTATCATTGGTCGTAAGTCTCCCGGTAGTACCTGATAAAACCCTGGTAAACCACTGGCCCTTCAAACTGGTCAGATATGACCAGTGGTAAGTAAAAATTTTGAAACATGAATTAAACATTTCACAGCTGTAGGTTTATTGAGACAGATTAATATTGATCGTTTCAGTAGCAGATATTTGAAGTTTGTACTGACCACTGGGTTTACCTTTAAGAACCTTGTGTTAGGGAGACAGTATTTGTCATAGATTTAGTTTTTAGTAATTTCAATGATATGGCTTTTTCCCAATCGATTTTTGCTTTCATTAGTTTCCGTAATCTTTGATACATGGTCAGCCATGTTTCGGATGTGTATGTATGCAAGCTGGTGGATGTATAGAGTACCTGTTTGTGCGCATGCTTGGGAGCGAATGTGTGTTTGTGTATGAATCTGTTGATGTTTTTTTGACAGCTGATGATATTATGTTTATCTTGAATGTAGCTAGTATATATATAAGTATATAATGTGTGCACGGATGAAAGTGAATGTGTTTTTGTGCACGAAAAGACCTCGGACTTGTCACTTAATTTAACTATATAGTTTGTAGTATATAAACATGGTTGTATGTTGTGTAAATAACAGGCCAAATTTACTAGCATTTCCCATCAAAATTAAATAATTTCCCTTGGGTATATAAAATTTTCCATTTCAGTTTTAAAATTCTGTTCCACTTCACGTTTTTGTAATGTGATGACTCATGATACTTACCTTCTATATCAAGTAACTGTACTACTAAACCCTGTGTACTTCCTAACTAAGTGGCGCTACTTTTAACACGTGAACCTCGTCTTTTGCAAACTGATTATGTTTGGACGCAGAAATATCCTTACTATGTACATAATATTACATAATGCCTTTTGATTTCTCACCGTGTCCGTCAAGTCGTTTACCTTTGAGCAAACAGTTAGATTTACTTCTTGTTTTAGCAACCAATTTATTTTTGGTTTATAAAACCAATACGATGCCTATTATGGCATTTCTTGATATGCTTATAAAAGACAAATCTACTTTGAACTTGTTTAATGTAAATATGTCGGATGACTATTCTGATATTGTACATGCAAATGTTATTTTGAAGAATACTGCGTGCTATGTAGTATTCCTTTGTCATAGCTGCTCCCTCTGTCGTTGTAGACCGTACCCCAACATGAACTTTTGTGTTACTGACAGTTGGTAGACTGGTATATGTATCGTATATCTAGGTTTTCAACATTTACTGCTACACTGTGGAGATACTGAAAGTAACCCAGGTCCTGGTAGTTCATTCCTTTCTGATTTATCCATTCTAAAACCAAGGCTATTTATTAATAGTGCATTACAGCGTTCTGAGCTTATTACCTAAAACGGACTTAATTTTTAG